AGTAAACCTCTCTTTACTGACATCCATAGGGACTGAAATAGTAAACCTCTCTTTACTGACATCCAGACGGACTGAAAAAGTAAACCTCTCTTTACTGACATCCATAGGGACTGAAATAGTAAACCTCTCTTTACTGACATCCAGAAGCACTGAAAAAGTAAACCTCTCTTTACTGACATCCATAGGGACTGAAATAGTAAACCTCTCTTTAGCGACATCCATAGGGACTGAAACAGTAAACCTCTCTTTACTGACAAAAGGACTGAAACAGTAAATCCCTCTTTACTGACATCCATTGGGACTGAAATAGTAAATCTCTCTTTACTGATATCCATAGGGACTGAAACAGTAAATCCCTCTTTACTGACATCCAGACGGACTGAAACAGTAAATCCCTCTTTACTGACATCCATAGGGACTGAAATAGTAAAACTCTCTTCACTGACATTCATAGGGACTGAAACAGTAAACCTCTCTTTACTGACATCCATAGGGACTGAAATAGTAAACCTCTATTTACTGACATCTAAAGGAACTGAAACACCAGTCCTTTTTTTACAGACATCTACAATACTGAATGAAACAGACGGCCATTAAATAAATGGAGCACCCATTTAGATTGAAATCCTAAGCCTTGAATCTGTCTAGACCATGGCAGTCGTTTTATTCTTGGAAACAAACAGAATAGTCCGATAAGACATACCATGGAATATGTAATCACTTTCCATCCCGAAAAACTTGTAATATGGTGATCCACTGGCTTCCGTGTAGGTATAGAATTTACCTACAGCCGCGTAGCTAGGACCAGTGCCAGAGGACGAAGTGCTTCCCTGTAATAGATAAAAACAGTGAAGTGTTAAATTTTAAGAAAAATGTCATTCACTCCCATCAACAAATGTTGTTAACCCGTATTAATGTAAAACGAAACAAAGGAGAAAAATAGCCTTTTCTAAAAGGAAATGTTTTCCATTTTGTTTTGAAATGCCACCTATTTCTACCAACACAAATCCTGTTTTCTGTTTTCTGAAGGGAAACACTACCCTTGTGTAAAGGTCTCCTTAGACAGGCAGCACTAGTTTTATATACTTAACCTCTAATACACTTTGGACAAAAAGAGTGTTTTTCTATACAATGTCAACTTTTGTTATATTAGAGCATACTACTAGTCAGTAAAACAGAGTTGCTTTAAGTCCTCTTTAGATCATAACATCAAACATACACTTCGTACTGTCCAGGTATTGGTGGTGTAGTTTTTCAGGAAACAGTTATCTCCTGGTTCAAAGGTACACAGCAGAAGACCAGCACTGCCTGTTAAAAGAAACAACAAACAATTTAAAATCTTTTTAACAATTGAAATAGAAACATACACTAAATTAGCGTTTGTGAATAAACACTTATACCTCCCCATGTTAGCTAATAATCCCATCCTGTTCTCTAATGCAAAATAAAAATATGCGAATAGGTCAAATAACCATGTACATGCAATTCTGTAATCTTTTCGATTACATTAAGATTTTTAGAGGAACTACCTATTTATAAATTATAAGGTGCATTTTTGAATAATTGCAATTAAATTGTTATGACATGAAAAGTAATAATAGCCTAAATGTTAAAAAGTATCAACTGAAAGGTTTGCACTCATTTGACCTTTGACCGTGACCGAAATACAGTGCACTGGACATCATCTGTGGCTGATGCAGAAATATTTCATGATTAATTATATGATATATCTTAAATGGTTTAAAAGTTACAGTCAAAACAAAATGTTACTTAAAAGTTTTGATTTATTTTACCTTTGACCTTGAGTTCAAGGTCACAGTCCTTCATTTGTGGAGAATGCAAGTATACTGCAAGTTTTGTCAAGATATTCAAAGTTTTAGCTAAGACAAACTTTTTGTAAAAAATAGCACTTATTTGACCTTTGACCTTGACCTTTTAGATTCAAATTTTGGACATCTGTCACAGGCAAGTAAAAATTGATCAGTTTGTCTTTTTGATTCCGATAATCAATTCCAAATTCAAATTATAATCTTTTAAATTGGTTCATTACTTCAAGTGTCGAATGTATACAATGTAAAGTAGGCATTGTAAGTCATTCATTTTGATGATTTTATTATGTTATTGATGGTGATGTAGGAAATAAAATCAAAACTACAAAAAGTTGCTTGTAATCCATTCACTATGAAAGACTGAAACCTCATGTAAAGTTAACGACTCTGTCTATTGATGTAACAGTAAAGTTAACGACTCTGTCTATTGATGTAACAGTAAAGTTAACAACTCTGTCTATTGAGGTAACAGTAGTGTTCAGTCTTTATTTGAGTATTCAGTCTCATAGAATTATAAAATGACTGCAATTGGTCGATTGGTTTACAACTTGCTATTACAAATTGATCATGGATTTTAATTATGATTTTAAAACAATTGCTTATCACTAGTTTAAAGATCGTTCTCTACTGGGCCAAAAAGCCTGGGTTGACGACTGCCTCCATTTGAGGTTGAAATATGTGCACTTTCATTTAAATGTCTACCAATGCAGTCTAGAAAATTTTGTCATTGATGTATTTTTTTCTCTCGGCATAATTCTGTGTTACTAGTAAACAATAAAAACATGTTGATATCAATAACATCACCAAATTGTACCTGATGACCCTACACCACCCGACGGTCCAGTTTGATCGGTTTCTGTTCGCCCCGAGCCCCTTAGCCACTGGAACTTGCTGGAATCTTGAGGGCATTTGCAACTAGTTGTATAGCCACATTTGTTGGGCTGATCAAAGTGGCACGGCCCGTATGCTAGACCATCTACAAACAGAGAACAATTATATTTGTACACGTTTTATACACGAAGCTTATGTTTACAAATAATTGTCACATATCTGTAAAATGTTTATAGTTATGAATTGTTGATGTCAGACCATCTACAAACAGAGAACAATTATATTTGTACACGTTTTATACAAGAAGCAATTATGTTCACAAGTAATTGTCACATATCTGTAAAATGTTTATAGTTATGAATTGTTGATGTCAGACCATCTACAAACAGAGAACAATTATATTTGTACACTTTTTATACACGAAGCTTATGTTCACAAATAGTTGTCGAAAATCTGTAAAATGTGTATAGTTATGAATTGTTGATGTCAGACCATCTACAAACAGAGAACAAAGATATTTGTATACTTTTTATACAAGGTGCTTATGTTCACAAACAATTGTTGAGATTTTTGACATTTTGATGGAGGATCGATGCATTCTTCCTTAATACAAAGCATTTTCCTTAAGGATTCCTGTACCACTACATGACTATATAGCTTTGATAAAATTATTTTTCAAAAGAAAACTAAACCTTACGGGACTTTTGTGAGTAATAAAAAAATGAATTACACAAAATATAATCAACAGCAGTGTTCTGAATGGAAAAAAAAATAAACAGAGGGACAAGATTAGGATTCAAACCCTAGACTTCGGACTGATAAACCATCAATATACTATGTCATTGAACACTGTGCTACAGTGCTATCTAAACAGAGGTTAAGGGGAGGTTACTGTATGCTGAGGAGAAACACAATGCATTATGCAATGGGAGTGGGACAAGTATCCTTAAGTATACAGTGGGACAGGTATCCTTAAGTATGTAGTGGGACAAGTATCCTTAAGTATACAGTGGGACAGGTATCCTTAAGTATGTAGTGGGACAGGTATCCTTAAGTATGTAGTGGGACAGGTATCCTTCAGTATGTAGTGGGACAGGTGTCCTTAAGTATGAAGTGGGACGGGTATCCTTTAGTATGTAGTGGGACTGGTATCCTTACGTATGTAGTGGGACAGGTATCCTTAAGTATGTAGTGGGACAGGTATCCTTAAGTATGTATTGGGACAGGAATCCTTAAGTATGTATTGGGACAGGTATCCTTAAGTATACAGTGGGACAGGTATCCTTAAGAATGTAGTGGGACAGGTATCCTTCAGTATGTAGTGGGACGGGTATCCTTAAGTATGTAGTGGGACAGGTATTCTTAATTATGTAGTGGGACAGGTATCCTTCAGTATGTAGTGGGTCAGGTATCCTTAAGTATGCAGTGGGACGGGTATCCTTAAGTATGTATTGGGACAGGTATCCTTAAGTATGTAGTGGGACAAGTATCCTTAAGTATACAGTGGGACAGGTATCCTTAAGTATGTATTGGGACAGGAATCCTTAAGTATGTATTGGGACAGGTATCCTTAAGTATGTAGTGGGACAGCTATCCTTAAGTATGTAGTGGGACAGGTATTCTTAATTATGTAGTGGGACAGGTATCCTTCAGTATGTAGTGGGTCAGGTATCCTTAAGTATGCAGTGGGACGGGTATCCTTTAGTATGTAGTGGGACTGGTATCCTTACGTATGTAGTGGGACAGATATCCTTAAGTATGTATTGGGACAGGTATCCTTAAGTATGTAGTGGGACAGGTATCCTTAAGTATGCAGTGGGATGGGTATCATTTAGTATGTAGTGGGACAGGTGTCCTTAAGTATGTAGTGGGACAGGTGTCCTTCAGTATGTAGTGGGACAGGTATCCTTACGTATGTAGTGGGACTGGTATCCTTAAGTATGTAGTGGGACAGGTATCCTTAAGTATGTATTGGGACAGGTATCCTTAAGTATGTAGTGGGACAGGTATCCTTAAGTATGTAGTGGGACAGATATCCTTCAGTATGTAGTGGGACAGGTATCCTTAAGTATGTAGTGGGACGGGTATCCTTAAGTATGTAGTTTGACTGGGCCCACTTGTATAAAACATCTCAAAGTTAAAGAAAATGTCAAGTGGGACAGGTATCCTTAACTAATTATTGAGAATGAACAGATTTTTTCTCTTTTAATATTTTATTTTTTTGTCCGAAATTGTGTGATTTTCAAATCTGACTAATGATTTAAATGAAATTACTTTTGTTGTGATGTAAATTATGTTATTTATCTTAAAATTTAATTCCAAGAATAACATCTTACAAACCACTTATGAAAAAGTATGACATGCTATGAGAGAACACAATTCAGGCAATTAATAAGAATAAAAACGAATGTGGTCTTTGATACAATGAGGCAATTGATACACTTACGAGGACATTTCCCATTTGAAACCTCGACGTCGTCAATGGCAATGTGACCCTGGAATGAAGGGCCTCGCACACCTTTGAATACAACCTGCATAGTTGCATTGGCTGGCAATTGCAAACACTTGTAATACCATTGGTAACCCTGGCTACCAGAAACACTCCAAGTTTCAGAACCTGCGGTGACTCTTAGCAATCCTGCTCCGGAGCCATTCATGTGATAGTAAAACTCTAATTTCTGTTCACTGCCCGATATAAAGGTTTCTGTTTTTAGCTCCGAAAAGTCATTCTCACTTCCACTATAGTCGTAGTAGTACATGAACATTCCTGTTAAATAAAAAAAAAATATACAATAGAAAAGAAATGCAAAATTTATTTTTTGGCAGATTCCTAGAAGATTCACCTCTAGAGAAGTTCACCAGGGCATGTACACCTGATCAGTCAATCTGCAGATGATTATGATTCGCTCACTTATCATTGAATTAAGAGAACTTTTTCCATATTAGAATCATAGAGAAATGTTTTATAATCATCGCTATAATCATATAAATACATCAATGACAAGAGTTTCTCAGAACTATGTCCCTCATTAAATCTCTCAGAATTATTTATTTCCTTAACTAAATATCATAGAGTTATGTCCCTCATCTAATCTCACAGATTTGTGTCCTTTGTTTAGTCTCACACAACTATGTCCCTCATTTAATCTCACAGAACTATGTTCCTCATTTAATCTCACAAAACTGCATGTTCCTCATTTAATCTCACATAAATTTGTCCCTTATTTAATCTCACAGAACCATGTCTCTCATTTTATCTCATAGAACTGAATGTCCCTCATTCCATTTCACAGAACTATATCCCTCATTTAATCTCACAGAACTATGTTCCTCATTTAATCTCACAAAACTGCATGTCCCTTATTTAATCTCACATAAATTTGTCCCTTATTTAATCTCACAGAACCATGTCTCTCATTTAATCTCATAGAACTGAATGTCCCTCATTCCATCTCACAGAACTATATCCCTCATTTAATCACACAGAACTTATATCCCTCATTCAATTTCACAGAACTTATATCCCTAATTCAATCTCCTAGAACTATATCCCGCATTTAATCTCACAGAACTATGTCCCTCTTTTAATCTCACAGAGCTTTGTCCCTCATTTAATCTCACTTATAAACTGAATATCCCTCATTTAATCTCACAGAACTATATCCCTCATTTAATCTCACAGAACTATGTCCCTCTTTTAATTTCACAGAACTATGTCCCTCATTTAATCTCACAAAAATTTGTCCCTCATTTAGTCTCACAGAGCTTTGTTCCTCATTTAATCTCACACATTAACCGAATATCCCTCATTTAATCTCACAGAACTTATATCCCTCATTCCATCTCACAAAACTTATATCCCTCATTTAATCTCACAGAACTGTATCTCTCCTTTAATATCACAGAACTATGTCCATCTTTTAATCTCACAGAACTATGTCCTTCAATTAATCTCACAGAACTTTGTCCCTAATTTAATCTCACAGAACTATATCCCTCATTTTACCTAACAGAACTATATCCCTCCTTTAATTTCACAGAACTATATCCCTCATTCAATCTCACAGAACTTATATCCCTCATTTAATCTCACTTATAAACTGAATTTCCCTCATTTAATCTCACAGAACTTATATCCCTCTTTCAATCTCACAGAACTATATCCCTCATTCAATCTCACAGAACTTATATCCCTCTTTCAATCTCACAGAACTGAATGTCCCTTATTCAATCTCACAGAACTATGTCCCTCATTCAATCTCACAGAACTACGTCCCTAATTCAATCTCACAGAACTATGTCCCTCATTTAATCTCGCTTATCAACTGAATATCCCTCATTTAATCTCATAGAACTTATATCCCTTATTTAATCTCACAGAACTATGTCCCTCATTTAATATCACAGAACTATATCCCTCATTCAATCGCACAGAATTATGTCCCTCATTCAATCTCACAGAACGCCGTCCCTCATTCAATCTCACAGAACTATATCCCTCATTCAATCGCACAGAATTATGTCCCTCATTCAATCTCACAGAACTATGTTCTTCATTCAATCTCACAGAACTTATATCCCTCATTTAATATCACAGAACTCATATCCCTCTTTCAATCTCACAGAACTGAATGTCCCTTATCCAATCTCACAGAACTATGTCCCTCATTGAATCTCACAGAACTACGTCCCTAATTCAATCTCACAGAACTATGTCCCTCATCAATCTCACAGAACTACGTCCCTAATTCAATCTCACAGAACTATGTCCCTCATCAATCTCACAGAACTACGTCCCTAATTCAATCTCACAGAACTATGTCCCTCATTGAATCTCACAGAACTACGTCCCTAATTCAATCTCACAGAACTATGTCCCTCATTGAATCTCACAGAACTACGTCCCTAATTCAATCTCACAGAACTATGTCCCCCATTCAATCTCACAGAACTATGTCCCTCATTGAATCTCACAGAACTACGTCCCTAATTCAATCCCACAGAACTATGTCCCTCATTTAATCTCACTTATCAACTGAATATCCCTCATTTAATCTCATAGAACTTATATCCCTCATTCAATTTCACGGAACTTATATCCCTCATTTAATCTCACAGAACTATATCCCTTATTCAATCTCACAGTACTATGTCCCTCATTTAATCTCACAGAGTTTTGTCCCTCATTTAATCTCACTTATCAACTGAATATCCCTCATTTAATTTATTTCACAGAACCATATCCCTCATTCAATTTTACAGAACTTATATCCCTCATTTAATCTCACTTGTAAACTGAATTTTCCTCATTTAATCTCACAGAACTTATATTCTTCTTTCAATTTCACAGAACTCATATCCCTCTTTCAATCTCACAGAACTGAATGTCCCTTATTCAATCTCACAGGACTATGTCCCTCATTCAATCTCACAGAATTTATATCCCTCATTTAATATCACAGAACTCATATCCCTCTTTCAATCTCACAGAACTATATCCCTCATTCAATCGCACAGAACTATGTCCCTCATTCAATCTCACAGAACTATGTCCCTTGTTTAATCTCACAGAACTCTGTCAAAATGTCTAAGTCTGGTGTCAGAGCCAGAGGAAACTCGGGCTGAGAACACATGTACAAGAGAGTATATAACCCCTGAATCTCGAAGAAGTGAATTATAGCTACAATGTACCTACATATATATACTGACCTGAACCACCGGTGGTGTGGTCACTGGGTAGACCAGAGTAGTAGTAAGGGCTAGTGTAACTGAGTGACCATCCTGTTGTGTTGTACATATCGTGAAATGGACAGTTTTCGTTTCTCATATCAAAATAGCTAAATGTGCAGTTCAGCCTGGAATGAGCTAACGGTAGAGGAGTCGTTGAAATGGTTGTGTTGGACGTTGGCGGCCTTGATGTAGAGGATGTGTTCGATGTATTGTTACCGTTGACGTTAGGCAGAGGTCCTCCGTTACACCAGGTTTCCTGGGATCCTGTAAATTATTGAGAAATGGTGATAAATGCACAATTATGAATGTATAAATATTTCATCAAAACATGTTTGCCTAATATATTAACTTTTTTGGCTGATACTTTGACAGTCACAGGGCTCGGCTTCGAGATTTCGAGTAATAAATGACGTAAATCGTAATACTTTCGGTTAATAATAAACCTATACACACCAGTTAATACCGTAGTGCCATCAATTGTTTAAGGTTTTAGAATGTGTATATATTCACTGGTGTGTATAGGTTTATTATCAACCGAAATTATCACGATTTACGTCATATATTACTCGAAATTCTGAAACCGAGCCCCTGAGCTGACAGTTGGTAATTCAGGGAATCATTGAGTACATATATGTAGTCCAGCCATGTCATCAAGCTCGGTTGAATATAAAGTGATCACCAACTAAGGACAACTAGTTGACAATTAATTGATTTCAAGATATTAGTTGAGGACTAGGTGTCGAGTGTACGTATTCCTGAAAAGTGCTCAATTTATTCACCCCTGAAGACACATTTGAACTCTTCCAATTCAAAGGTTAGAATAGTTCATTATAAAATTTCAGGGGTGAATGAGTTCGGACAATAGAGTCAATTACCCTGATACCACCATTTTCCAAAAGGGTTGTTGCATGAATAATGAAGAAAGTCGATCACTCACTAGATGCTATAAAATGTACAATTAAGTGGATTATGGATAATGTGATATCCTTCAGTTTGTCCTTTATATTCCAGTATCTGGTTTGATAAGTTGATGTAGAACACTCATAACATACATTCATCTTTCTTCTGATTGAACAAAATGAAGTCACATTACACTTAAAACTGTTGATGTCATCATTATTGACATCATCTGTTACGCCAGATTATATATATATTATGGACGCCGGACTCACTGACCCTCCCTGGAAAGATGGCTATTCATTCAACAAGTATATACTGTTCATATTTTTTTAAATTATTTATACAATTACAAATGTGTTTAAATTTTCTATGAGATACCAAAATTGTAAATAAAAGTATTGAATTGCTTTCAGTTGGCATTCATAGGCAATATGAATGCCAAATGGAAAAGACAAATCACATGCTTCACCGAGTTTGTCTTTGTCTGTTTCTCATGTCCATGTGATCATATACCTAGTCACCTCAGTGATAGTTTTTAATGGATGAATATTACATCACTTTTATTGAAAAAATAGATATGCTAGCTGACATTACACAGTAAAACTGCTGAAATTTATGACACAAAAATATTCCAGTGTATACATATGTATCTGGTTTAGAGGTTTAAAGATATAACATTGGTCATTTTTAATGAAAATATATATGCTAGCTGGCACTTAAAACTGCAATACCTGAGAGCTGTTAATAGGACGATAAACAGTTTAAACCAAACCAGACCACAGTAATACTGCTGAAAATTATAATAGAATGATTACAGTAAATTCAACATTTTTATAAGGATCAACTGTGCTCACACATGTATCTGGTTTAGAGGTTCAGAGATATGTGCTAGCCGACATTACAGTGTAATAATGCTGAAAAGTATGATAGACTGACTCCAGTCAATTCAACATCTTTAGGATCGACTGTGTATACACATGTATCTGGTTTAGAGGTTCAGAGAATTAGAGGATAAAAATACCACTTACCACATGCTCCAGGTAACAGGTAAACACTGTCGATAGCTATGACTTGGTAATAATAGTATCTATAGTAGCCCTGAGTGGCCTCAAAGAATAACTGAAAAAGAAAACGAATTCATCAGAGAAAACAATTAACAAAGGGCTATCATTTTTATTGATTTTGACGAATCGACAAAACATGAGTAGGGTCCTTTGCATTCCTCCATGTTTCAACTTTAAGTGATGATTATTTTCTCAAATTATCCAATCAATATTGACGTTTCCGTTTGAAGCATTATAACCTTTAACTTACCTGGAACTCCCCCATGTCAGCTGTTATCGTGGCCTCAGTTCGCTCCCAAACTGAGCTTTCGTCATCAGAATACAAAAGGGTGTGGTCTAAATCGTCGTCTGATGTTTTGAAGTATACAAGAAGCGAACCAGCATCATAACCGCTTATCAAGTAGTAAAAGGACAGGCACATGTCCATCCCTGCTCAAAGAGAAAAATCATATGAATCGAGCATGCTTCTTGACAAGGATGAATATGGGGTACTTTTTTGAAGATGTAATTATCATTCTTACAAATATTCCTGAATTATTCAAAAGTCTTTTTTGGACAAATATTGGTTTTGGTGAAATGAATTTAAAACATGGCAAACTGGTCACAATTACAATTTTTGATAAAAACAGATACGTCTCTGTTATAAATGCCATGCCAGCACATTGGTATGGTTTCCATAACAAACAACGATCTCTGAACTCATTCACTCCTGAAATTTCACAATGAACTGTTCCAACCATTGAATTGATCGAGTTCAAATGTGTCTTCAGGGGGTGAACAAGTTAATGAAAGACAACATATTGATTACCTGGTGTGAGTTTAAGCGATTCCAGGATACCTTTACCACCATACGACCCTTGGAACAGAAGGGAAGTAAAGAACTGAGAACCAGGTACTGGTGTGACCGGGTACTGACGACTGCTAGCCTGAAATAGAAAATGTATAGCATACATGTGACACAGACAAGAAATTCTAGATGCTTCAGTTCTAGTTTCAGTGCCTAAAACTAGGTGGACGGGTGAAGTAGTGGATAGCACACTGACCTTTCACCATGGCGACTGGAGTCCGATTCCCCGATCGAACATGAAAAGTTATGGGGGTCATATGCCCGACCACGTAGGTTAACGTTTTCTCCGGGTAGTCCGATTTTCTCCCTTGCACGCACTTACATCAGGGCCAACAAGAGTGATGAATAACTTGTTTTATATTTGTTGTAAAACAAATAAAGTTTATATTTAGTACCTAAAATCTTTACTCAAACAGTACTTCCTTGAACAAGACAATTTTCTTAAGGGTAAGCACAAAAAATGCGGGTTATACAGACAATAGATATATCATGACTTGTTATCATGGGGGACACAACAGATTACGTACAGCCCGTTTAAACAGAGATCAAGTGCTGTGAATATGATAAATTTCCTTACTGAGGTTCTGTACCAGCTCAGGTCGTCATTGTATGACTGCATCAGGAAACAAGAATCACCATATTCATATGTACAGGAATAGCCAACGGATCCTGTAAAAAGACATTCACTGGTCAGATTAAACAGGTAAAATTATTGAACGTTAAAGAAATTGACAGCAAGTTTTCTCATCTAATAATGTACATGTCCTTTTCTTTTCTGATGCTAATAAATAAGATTTGTTATGTTACCCCCCAGGATACGTCTAAGTCTGTGAATCAAATGAAAGCTACACAAAATGTTGTCCTTCAGAGCTACTTAACACATAAAACATACCGAAAGATGATCGAAACTAGGCTTACTTAGTATCAGGATCAACTATACGCACAACAAGATAATGTCTAACTACCAGTAGTAACTAGGTCCGTAATACACATCATTACAGGATCAATAATACACAACATTACAGGATCAACCATACACATCATTACAGGGTCAATAATACACATCATTACAGGATCAATAATACACATCATTACAGGGTTAATAATACACATCATTACAGGATCAATAATACACATTATTGCAGGATCAATAATACACATAATTACAGTATATATAATACACGACATTACAGGATCAATAATACACAACATTATAACATTACAGTATCAATGATACACAACATTACAGGATCAATAATACACAACATTACAGGATCAACCATACACATCATTACAGGGTCAATAATACACATCATTACAGGATCAATAATACACAAAATTATAACATTACAGTATCAATGATACTCAACATTACAGGATCAATAATACACAATATTACAACATTACAGGATCAATAAAACACAACATTACAGGATCAATAATGCTCATCATTACAGGATCAATTTTACAGATCATTACAGGATCAATAATACACAATATTACAACATTACAGGATCAATAAAACACAACATTACAGGATCAATAATACTCATCATTACAGGATCAATTTTACAGATCATTACAGGATCAATAATACACTGTATTATTCATACAACAAGACACACTATGTAGTTACAGGATCCGAAATCAATAACATAAGAATCTAGTCAGGTAGTGGACCAAGTATAACACAACTCCTTCCATTTGCGTCATAACAACAACAATCATATATACTACAACTCATTATGTTTTAGATACAGGACCAATTTTATGTACATGTACATGTATAAGGCACCGATCTGTTATGTCCTTTTTAACTCACAGTTCATATTGTAAAAGTAACATATACTCTGTTGGTAGTTGAAGGAACCGCTATACGTACCACAAGACACCCTCGAAATGTAGTTACAGGACGTTAGTCCGAAGAATGGATGGGAACATGCGTTGAGGTCTGTTCCATTGTAACAGTCTAAATATTGAAGGGCCGGTGGAGCAGAACCTCCGGTATACAGGATGTCCCTCAATACCCTTGCATTGGCGGGGCTTAAAGGAGAAATGATTTACTATCTACTTAAACAGCGAGTTAAAATAAAATGAAGCTTGCTTCATTTTACATTGTTTGTGTGATTTTTACCTGGCCCTAGTATCAATAGTGACATATCACCTTCATCTTTAGTCTTAACAAAAAATGTCCTTTAATTGTTCTAGAGTTCGATCTTCTGCAACTCACCCATTTTTTAAGTAAAGAACTGATTTATAAGGATTCTGTACAAAGTTGAATCAAGAGCCCTACATTATATGATTTTGTCAAAAGGTGAAAGCAATTTTTTTTTCATTTCTTTTTCCTCTATGTTAAGAGTGGGAAGTACATTCAGTTTCATTTATTAAAGGATCATGTGTCATAAATATGTACATGATTATTCATGTCACTTAAATAAAGTATGACAATAAATGTGAAAGGAGTCTTTCTGAAACAAATACTGTATTAAACATCTGTGGTTAACTTTATGTTTAATTAATTGTATGGCAGTTCAGTGGCGTCCACTACACATTTCTACTCACTCGAATCCCAATTTCTCACAGATGAGCCTGGCTTCGTAAACCTTTATGCCATATGCACAGACCGTACCCCAGTGGTCGTCGCAAAATCCGCCAACTTCAACTACGCCCTCTAGGCATGAACCGCCTATCAGACGCACTTCTGGTAAATAGAAGGAAGACAGTGTTTAATTGTCATTAGTTTTAGCCATATTCTTCCTTATATATTTGGTTTATTTATCAAATCCAAGCAACATAAGGTATGTTAGATAGAAAAGCGAAGGTATTAAGTTGTGGAACTACTGTATTCCGGGAAATGTTCGCTTCAGTTTACCTTTGACATTTTCCACCAAAATAAGGTTGATCATATATTGATAACATTTATATACATGTTCCTGTATAAAGAAATACTATTCAAAGTAAGGAAATCAGACGAGTTAAATTAACATTGGATAATTATGGATTCTATCAGTGAAGGGCTAACACTAGTTTCCGGTATACAGTACTTGAGAACACAATTTGTTATAATATTGTCAAGTGAGCAACATTATTGTTTTACAATTTTAGCAAACAAATCTATATGTCTTGTTTTTGGTTGACAAGGAAAACAAAGAAACATCATTTAAACTCTACAAGATACAAATAAAGCCCTATCATAATTAATAACAGTTATTTTACAATAATGATAAATACTTACTTTCTACACGATTTGTCTCTAAGTCTGCAAAGAGAACAATTAGTATTATTACTATTATTACCTTTAACTGAACGACATCGCAAGTTATCTCAGTCTAGCTTCAGCCGTAATAGCACTAAATAACTTTATATCTCAAAATTAAAGATAGGCACCTGTCAACCATCTTAGTTTTGCAATCAGTCCCAAAATTTTATATAAAAACTATGGACCACGAGAAACCTTCATGTGAAATTTGAGCAAAATCCCTTCAGGACTTTCAATGAAATAGCGCTAATTAACTTTAACACTAAAAATTCAAGATGGCCCATCTTCGTTTTCTGATCGGTCCCGAAATTTGACGTGCATAACTATGGAACAAGGGAAATCTTCATGTGAATTTTGAGAAAGATTCCTCATTTACTTTCTCAGAAATAGCGCTAAAAATGGAAAATATGAACGAAAAGCGACGACCTACAACAACAGACGATATAACCTTGAAAATAATTGAGTATTACCGGAAAAGCGAAGAACTTAAAATTTCTATCGGTTAAAGATGAGTTCTTGTGACATCAAAACTTACAACCAGTATTGTTACAGAACCGCTCGTCAAATCCATCTGGGCAGTCAGGTTTACCATCACACAGTTTTGACAGACTGACACAGGAGGCATTTGGACAGCGAATTTCACTTGTGTTACAAGGTACTGCAATACAAACACATTACAAGTACTTCAATGCACAAACATTCTTCATAAAATGATTTTAAAAAAATCAACAACAAAGCCTTCAAACTAATTGGCCTATATGTACATGTCCATATCAAATAAATTAACGTACACCTGCTCGATCGGGTTCTTTTTCATGTTCCAAAAAGCAGACTATACATGTTTCGAAAGGCAGTTTACATGGCCCGATTTGGTTATTCTTATGTTCTGAAAAGCAGTTATACGTGCTCGATTGGGTTCTTTTTATGCTCCGAAAGAGCTTCTATACATGCTTTTATTTTGCTCTTTTTCATATTCCGAAAAGTAGTTTATACATGTTCCAAGAGGTATGTGCTCGATTGGGTTCTTTTTGATGTTCCGAAAGGCAGTTCATATGTGCTTGATTGGGTTGAGTCATATCAAATTATTGAGCTCGTTTATTAAATCCATTATGACATAGACACTCATGTAAGGTCCTCTTTATGTATATCAAGATGACAGAAGCAAAGGCTTTGACTCGAAGTGTAATTCATCTGCGGTAAGTTGAGACACTCTAATGAACTTACATAATGCTGGAATAATGCTCTCGTATCTAGCTGAAAATCCTGGATACACTACTGATCCATCAGTGTGGAAGTGAAGGAACATGTTGTTCCCCGTCGAAAACACGTCTGATGGCATTGACCGTCCATTGAGGCTAAATAGAAATGAAACATTAAAAAAAATCCAATTTGGTGAGACCTACTGGTCAATTAAAAATGAACGAAAATCCCACTAGGTGAGATTTTGTTATCAGCAAAACAAAATTGCAGAAATAAAAACATATAAGCTACTTTTCCCCAAGGTAGAGATTATGTTCGTTAGATTGTGAAACTGTGAGAACAATCCCTCCATAGGGGCACTGATTTGACGTTTTTGATATGTTATTGCAAAACAACACCTCATTACTGTGGAAATATATAAGTTTTTTATAAACATTTATTTTAGTTTATTAAGTCAACATACTTTTACTACAAACTTCCAACTTCATGATCAACAAAAAGGAATCAAATAATGTGTACTTACTCGGCAATCTCGTTATTAAATCTACTGTCTCCATCATAGATTCTCAAATGGTCACAGCAACTCTCCATGGAAAACGAAAGGAAGGTGAGCTTGACAATAGAACCTTCACTGACCATGATATGCCAGTAACAATCAACATTGTTATCGTAGTTACCAGGATAGTTGGGACTAGAAATGTGTCCAGAATCGCCTGTCTGTAACCGCTCTCCACATTCTATAAATAAAAAAGTGTATAAGGGTCAAGGAAGCAATTCCAACGGTATATGGAGCAATCTGCTCCTTTATGAAGGTAAGGTTGGTTGGTTGTTTGTTGGGTAAAGTAAACTGTTCTATCAACAGCTAAAGGCATTTAAGGACGAGTCTTCATTTGTGTTGTGAATGAGAACATGTGAGTATGTTTCAAGTTTCACCCGCATACTACACAATGTATAGTTTGTAGGTTAAGATAAGATACCCTACATAGCTGATATACATGTCAGCCTTGCATTCCACGATACTTTTTGACTCTACAGCATATTTGGGTCTGAATAACTTTTTCCCCTTTTTTGCCAGATTTTCCCGTTTGACCCAGCCCTTGTATCCAAGAAGAGGTCAGGTCTTTATTTTCATACAATAATATTACTGTCATTCCATGATAATAATTATAATAATGCTTGAATTCTTTTCAATCAAAGATTAACCAAAAATTCTCAAAAGAGATATTTCAACATATATCATATTGAAATGTACCCTATCCCCAAGATTGCATGAATGTCGTAGGGGTCGCGCAATCAGATTGTCCCCATTTAGACCTCATCCTGCCTCCAAGTCAGGATATGGGGTCTAAATCTTTATATCACATTACAAGTACTAAAACATAAGAGTTATTTCCAAAGTTAAAATCATTTCCGACTCAAAATGAGCAAAATATACCATAAAAGTGATATTGTTCTATGATGAAGTAGAAACATGAAATAAATAAATTTGTCGTCTTCATGCTCCGGTCTTTGAATTGGGAAACAGATTAGCAAAGCTCTTATTGTTTTGCACGAGGTAATGTTTGAAACTTTAAATTATCTTCTCCATTAACGGACCAGTCCTTCCTGATGTCAGGGGTAACGCCCCTAAAACGCTAGCAGCACATCTATAGGTATATTATTACAAAAATGCTTTAAACATATCTATTTGAAAATACTTCATGGAGAAAAGTAGCACACATCAAAATTTATGATAATGATTTTTTTTTTACTTTAACATGCAGCATTAGAACAAATACAGTGAATATAGATTACAAGAAAAGAAATTACCTGTGTCAGGTGGAACTGTGGTTGGCCAGGTTGTAGCTGTAAGTAGATGTTTTGTTAAATGTTTGTGAAAACCACTTTTAAAGTAGGTCTGATTTCTATATTATCTCAGGTTACATAGTAACATATATAACCTTCTACTGAATGAGCGATTATTCTAAAATAAACATAAAAAAGAAAAACAAAAAGGAAAAGAAGTATAGAATGTAGCTAAAATAATATGGAAACGTTGAATCTAATTTTCTCTTTAATTTGATCCATTTACTTTGAATGATTGATTGGTAAATAACTAAGGCTTCTATGTATACACAGATACACAGATACATATTTTTTCATTACAAAATAAAGAAGCAATCTCGGAGCTGAAGAAGTTTTTTAAAGTATCTTCTTCAATTGATGTTATCATAATATATTCATACAGGGAGTTCAGAAATTCTCTGATACTTAAACACTAATATTCTCCGTTTTTCGAAACATGTTTTAGCTGATCTTTTATCATAACCTAAACAATATAATTTTCGTGTTTTTATAGTAGAATGATATAAACATGACATGAATGATTGAGGATTGAGGTTTTGGCTTAATTTTATTTATCTGATGAAGCATATATGGAGATTCTATACGCTTTGTTCTTCTTGTTAACTTACATATTTACATTTGCTCTGCATCCTTCCATTGAAATGCATTGCGAATGCAAATGTTGTTATGAGACTATAAAACTATTTGCTATTGTAATGTCATCAATATCTAATGTGACGTCATCACTTCATTGTTGTCAACATTTGATTTGCTGTTCAAAAACTGTTCGAGATAACTAAATAAAGCATAACTAAATGTAAATATAATAAATATTTTTGCAAATATTGTTATAGTCTCATAACACACATTTTTATTGCTAACAAAATTACATAAAACCCGTCGGTCTTTATTCCGTCTTTTCGTATTGCAGAGTTATCTGCTGTTGTGAACAGGTATTGATTGTAAAGTCATTAGTGTGTGTGAGAAATTTACGTCGTTTTCTCAAAACATTATGACGTTACTCTCACAAACAAATGACGTAACAATCAATACCTGCTCACAAGAGCAGATAACTCTGCAATACGAAAAGACGGAATTAAGTTTTTCATCAATAGCAATGTGTGTTATAGGACCATAACAACATTTGCTAAAACATCCATTGCTTAAATATACCTTGACGTATGGTCTGATAAAAAGCCGAAAATCCCTGGCGGGTTACGGAACTGTCTGTGTAGAAGTACAGTAACATACGGTTTCCTGTTGAATACACATCTGGTGTAGAATAATTTCCTATAAAACTGTAAAAAAAAAAAAAATGACATGAAAGACCCGGATTTTTTTGATTTTTTTTCGTTTTAGTATATTTTTTAGGAGAACTCGCTTTTTGACATTTAGCTTTTTTCGCTTAAATCACTAAATGCGAGTAGTAATAATAAATATACAAATTTTTGTACCTCCTTATAAAAAAACAGAAATAAAAAGTTAAATCTTTTCTTCAAACTAAACAAAAACATACCGTATATAGATTATAATCAAAATTATAGGCAAGTAGATAAGCTAAGTTCCACAGGTAACGTGTTAGAACTTAGTGAATATTTTCACAGACAGGAAGAGTTACCTGTTAAAGCAAAGCTCGTTTGGACTTTAAAAAAATCTCTATTCTGAATAAAAAACTATCTTAATGTTTTGACAAATCTAACATAACAAGACAAAGTACTAAAAGACAATCCATAGTCCCCCACCGGTAATAATTTGTTTAGTAACTGAGCTGTTCACCTATCTCGGGATATATGTCACAGTGACCTACGCCTTGTACTCCACACTCCATCAGCCAAGACATACTCGCATAACAAATCTGGTTACTCCAGGTGATTAAGCATAGAATATATTTCAACAAGGATAAAGTCAAAGGTCAAGCATAAGTCAGAGTGACCTACTTATTTAACCTGACACTCCACTATTCCAGGATGTAATTTATGCTGTATCTGGTTACTCTAGGTAAATTAGTACAGAAAAGTTGCCCGGACAAATTTTCCCGAAGGTTGAGGTCAAAGAAAAACCAAAGTTCAGAGTGATCTGCTTTTTTTGTACTTGACACTCCGGCATCCCAGGATGTACTTGCATACCAAATCTAACAAGTATTAATTGTGATGGGGCACAATGACAGAAGTCCCCCAAACCCCCGCGGGTATGTTCACAGTGCCAAAATAGATCTACATATGAAATTTGAGCCAAATCGACCAATATCGAATTTCGACCAATCGAAGAAACGGAATAAAACCAATAAGTCGGCCACATGTATTTTTGTTGACGACATGGAAACTTATCACATTCTATGGTACAGGTTAAGAGAAGATAACTCCAGTTTGTAGGATCAATAGTTATTGAGTGAAGGTCAGTATAGACTGTAAATATATTTAAGGAATGGCTTTCAATTTTGGCCAGGCTATGAGGTTTGGTAAATGTAAATTGAATAGATGGCGAAGCAATGGTTATTAAACAAAAGCCAGTATAGACGGTAAAATGATGATAAAGTGAAATAAAGTGAAAAATGATGATAGAGTAAAAATGATGATAAAGTGAAATAATTTAATGTGTACGTACGTATCAATTAGTCTATCGTTTGTATTGGCTCCATCATAGACCTTCAGAAAGTCACAGCAACCTTCTGATTCAAAGGTATTGAATGAAAGACGTATTCTGTATTCCGTGTCGACCTGGATATTCCAGAAACATGCAACATTGTTAGGGTAATAACCAGGGTAATTGGGGCTGTAAATATATCCAGAAGGATCTGTCCGGTACCGCTCTCCACACTCTGTCAAAAAAATCAACAACAGAATTATATAACAATAACAGTCTAAAATTGTAATACATAGTATGGTGACATATTTCTGCCATCGACTTTTAAAAGATGTTGACAGAATCTTAGAAGATGTCACAACAGCGTTTAAATTCCGTCGACATTTTTTTTTTACATTTTCCGAGATAATTTGGCCGATATGATTATCTCGATTTTTTTATCAAGTTTATGCTCATATGTGACATCGACAGGTCACTTATTAAGGAATTGATTACTTATTAAAACAAAACGAGAAGTTAACAAATCATTCTCCAAGAAATAATCACATGATATTGCAGATATACAAAACCTAAATAAAGGCTTAATCGTCCTTTTACCTACATATTATAAGCTACTAGAACATCACGTGATAAGTTTTTAGAAAATGATTGGTAAACTACTGATTTTGTTTTACATAAATTGTAATGTAAAAATGTAAAAATAAATGTCGCCATAATCTAAACGTTATTGCGACACATTTATATATTCTGTCGACATCTTCTCGGATTATGTCGATATCATATATATGCCATAGGAATGCTAATATTGGTAATATTATATCATTTTAACTACTCTCATTTGGAGTTAATGGCTTTTTTAAATTTTCTTATTTAGAGGCTTCCTCGATACTCCAAAGGTTACACTCACTTTCGCTCTCTACACCCCTGGAATATGTCATAGCGAAATTGCAAGCAAAAAATCATGACCAATTGCTGGTCTGACACCTGTTCTTTGAAGAATAAAGAAAAGCGATACCCTACTTCAAAGTCAGTCAATTGTTTCCGTGACGCGACTGACAAATGGATTATACTAGTCTTCTCGTCTCGTCTCTTCCACGAGGTGGCGTACACTGAGCCGTCGATTTTGTTATGACATATTCCAGGTTTGCAGAGAAACCAGAGTAACCCCTGGAGAATCAAGGATATTTTAGAGGATAATAAGTGAATTATCCATTGAATACCAAGTTTATTACACGAGCATGTCAGGATGCCGATACCTTCCCCGCATGCAAACATACTTCTTGCGTATAAAATAACGGTATTATGACATACTAGTTGAATTTTGTAAGACGTACCAGCAACAATGAAATAATTACTCATTTAAGGTGGCGGAATCTACAGTGCAACATTTGGCGCCATATACTAAGGCTGTCACACTAATTCAGTAAGGTTATGCCCTTAATGAAAAGGTGTATTTCTAAATGTTTCATTTTCGTATTATAATTAATGCATCATTTTTCATTTGTATGTAAATAGCCGGCCACAATTGAACAAAAAACAACTGAAGGCGAGACAAGCAAGTCTCAGCAGGCGGCAGGCAGAAAGACAGACAGGCACTCAACTCAGCGACTCACGGCAGATATGCCCGTCTGAAGCGGACAAATATGTAGTCATAAGGATTAAACAATGGTGGTGCCCAATTTTATACTGTAATATTGATGTCAATAACCTGATTTTATTTTGTTATGCACAGTTTTCATTTTTATACAACTATAGTTATCTTGTTTTTGATATTCTTTGTACTTTTTTTTTTTTTTTGGAAATGGGAAATAGATAAAATGCATAGCACTTACAATGTAAAGGATTCCATAAGAGAATATATTTAACTTTAAATTTACTTGCCCATATATGGACCTACCCATCTTGTTGCCAAGGATTACAGACCAAAAGCTTTTGGCATGTATTTGCATTAATTCAAGGAATGTTTGCAGTTATTTGTGGTTGTAATATCAAATCTATTTGAAGGCGCTTTATGTAGAAAAAACACAGAAGAGGATACAAAAGGGTCAACAAAATCATATTTTTAACTAAAAATCGATAAAACTAGGGCAATAGCAGATAAAGGAGAGAAAGTTTTTACATGATTACCATTGAACAAGTACAAGGAGAATAGTAATAGGACCAGGTATTCCGGAAGAGTAAGCGTCTTCTGTTCTATGGATGAAACCTGCTGTGTAAATCTAAGTCGCATCCAAATAATTTCACATTCTCATCACATCGAGAACTCGGGTAGTGACAACGAATCGTAAGGTTTACGGTAGAAAATAGCGTGCATCAAATTGTGTTTTATGGTTTTGTAATTTGATAAAAACATGTAGCATTAACCAAAACGGAGAAATAATTTGATTATGAATTGATAGTTACCTGTGCCTGGAGTAGTCCAAGGTGTAACTGTAGATGGCCAATTCGTGGTAGAAGGGGGAGATGTATCTAAAAGTAGACGATATTTGAAGTGATACAAGCTATGTGAATTGTTTATAAAAATCTCTTTCAATGTAAATATGATTTCTTTCTTCTTTCTTTCCGATCACAGGCTAATTGCATATTTTTTTTTTATGGACCAGTGATTAATTCAAAAAACATCAAACGAAAGAGATTATGTAACAATGAAGTAAATGATGTGTCTGGAAATGGATGATATTTTAATCATATACTGAAATAATTTCAAAAGGTCTGATTTTTAGTTTTGTTAGATCAGGTTATTAAACATATTTTACTGAACCAGCAATTATTTTAGAAAAACCTATTTAAACGAAAGACAGTGAATATTTTCATTAGCAATAAATGGTTAATGAAATTAACAATGAATTCACTAAATCGGATATTTAAAAATGAAACTTGATATATTAACTGTTCATTTATTTTACTTTATCATTGGCATTTCCAGATTGAAGTAACAGCCATTTCATAACACCATTGACTCTTTCATTGAATTATGGACTGTCTAACTAAATTACTTACTAACGATTATCACATGAACCTCAACTATTACATGAACCACCGACTATCACATGAACCACTCACTATCACATGAACCACTGACTATCACATGAACCACCGACTATCACATAAACCACCGACTATCACATGAACCTCCGACTATCACGTTAACCACTGACTATCACACGAACCTCCGACTATCATATGAACCACCGACTATCATATGAACCTCCAACTATCACATGAACCTCCGACTATCACATGAACCACCGACTATCATATGAACATCCGGCTACCACATGAACCACCGACTATCATATGAACCTCCGACTATCACATGAACCACCGACTATCATATGAACCTCCGACTATCATATAAACCACCGACTAATATATGAACCTCCGACTATCATACATATGAACCTCCGACTATCACATGAACCTCCGACTATCGCATGAACCTCCGACTATCACATGAACCACCGACTATCGTATGAACCACCGACTATCACATGAACCTCCGGCTATCACATGAACCTCCGACTATCATATGAACCTCCGACTATCACATGAACCACCGACTATCACATGAACCACCGACTATCACATCAACCACCGACTATCACATGAACCTCCGACTATCACATGAACTTCCGAATATCACACGTACCTCCGACTATCATATAAACCACCGACTATCATATGAACCTCCGACTATCATATAAACCACCGACTAATATATGAACCTCCGACTATCATACATATGACCCTCCGACTATCACATGAACCTCCGACTATCACCTGAACCTCCGACTATCACATGAACCACCGACTATCACATTGACCACCGACCATCACATGAACCTTCGACTATCACATGAACCTCCGACTATCACATGAACTTCCGAATATCACACGTACCTCCGACTATCATATAAACCACCGACTATCCCATGACCCTCCGACTATCATATGAACCTCCGACTATCACATGAACCACCGACTATCACATTGACCACCGACCATCACATGAACCTTCGACTATCACATGAACCTCCGACTATCACATGAACTTCCGAATATCACACGTACCTCCGACTATCATATAAACCACCGACTATCATATGAACCTCCGACTATCATATGAACCTCCGACTCTCACATGAACCACCGACTATCACATGAACCACCGACTGTCACATGAACCTCCGACCATCATATGAACCTCCGACTATCATATGAACCTTCGACTATCACATGAACCTCCGACTATCACATGAACCACCGACTTTCACATGAACCTCCGACTATCACATGAACCTCCGACTATCACCTGAACCTCCGACTATCACATGAACCACCGACTATCATATGAACATCCGGCTACCACATGAACCACCGACTATCATATGAACCTCCGGCTATCACATGAACCTCCGACCATCATATGAACCTCCGACTATCACATGAACCACCGACTCTCACATGAACCACCGACTATCACATGAACCACCGACTACCATATGAACCACCGACTATCACATAAACCACCGACTATCAAATGAACCACCGACTATCACATGAACCTCCGACTATCATATAAACCACCGACTAATATATGAACCTCCGACTATCATACATATGACCCTCCGACTATCACATGAACCTCCGACTATCATATAAACCACCGACTAATATATGAACCTCCGACTATCATACATATGACCCTCCGACTATCACATGAACCTCCGACTATCACCTGAACCACCGACTCTATCACATGAACCTCCGACTATCACATGAACCACCGACCATCACATGAACCTTCGACTATCACATGAACCTCCGACTATCCCATGAACTTCCGAATATCACACGTACCTCCGACTATCATATAAACCACCGACTATCACATGAACCTCCGACTATCATATGAACCTCCGACTATCACATGAACCACCGACTATCACATGAACCACCGACTACCATATGAACCACCGACTATCACATAAACCACCGACTATCAAATGAACCACCGACTATCACATGAACCACCGCCTATCACGGGAACCACCGACTATCATACTATCACATGAACCTCCGATGAACCTCCGACTAACATATGAACCTCCGACTATCATATGAACCACCGACTACATTGTATCATATGAAACATTGGCTATCATATGAACCATGCGCTATCATATGAACCACCGACTATCACATGAACATTCGACTATCACATGAACCTCCGACTATCACATTAACCACCGACTATCATTTGAATCTCCGGCTATCACATGAACCTCCGACTATCACATGAACCACCGACTATCAAATGAACCACTGACTATCACATGAACCTCCGACTATCACACGAACCTCCGACTATCATATGAACCTCCGACTATAACATGAACCTCCGACTATCACATGAACCATCGACTATCACATGAACCACCGACTATCACATGAACCTCCGACCATCACATGAACCTCCGACTATCATATGAACCTCCGACTATCACTTGAACCTCCGACTATCACATGAACCTCCGAATATCACACGAATCTCCGACTATCAAATGAACCACCGACTATTATATGAACCACCGACTTTCACATGAACATTCGACTATCATATGAACCATAGGCTATCATATGAACCACCAACTATCACATGAACCATGGGCTATCATATGAACCACCGACTATCATATGAACCACCGACTATCATATGAACCACCGTCTATCACGTGAACCACTAACTATCATATGAACCACCGACTATCATATGAACCTCCGACTATCACATGAACCTCCGACTATCACATGAACCTCCGACTATCACATGAACCACCGACTATCACATGAACCACCGACCATCACATGAACCTTCGACTATCAATTGAACCTCCGACTATCCCATGAACTTCCGAACATCACACGAACCTCCGACTATCATATAAATCACCGACTATCACATGAACCTCCGACTTTCATATGAACCTCCGACTATCACATGAACCTCCGACTATCACATGAACCACCGACTATCATATGAACCACCGACTATCACATGAACCTTCGACTATCAATTGAACCTCCGACTATCCCATGAACTTCCGAACATCACACGAACCTCCGACTATCATATAAATCACCGACTATCACATGAACCTCCGACTTTCATATGAACCTCCGACTATCACATGAACCTCCGACTATCACATGAACCACCGACTATCATATGAACCACCGACTATCACATGAACCTCCGACTATCAAATGAACCACCGACTATCATATGAATCTCCGGCTATCACATGAACCTCCGACTAACATATGAACCTCCGACTATCACATGAACCACCGACTATCACATGAACCACCGACTATCACATGAACCTCCGACTATCACATGAACCTCCGACTATCATATAAACCACCGACTATCACATGAACCTCCGACTATCACATGAACCTCCGACTATCACATGAACCTCCGACTATCACATGAACCACCGAATATCACATAAACCTCCGACTATCACATGAACCACCGACTATCACATGTACCTCCGACTATCACATGAACCACCGACCATCACATGAACCTTCGACTATCAATTGAACCTCCGACTATCCCATGAACTTCCGAACATCACACGAACCTCCGACTATCATATAAATCACCGACTATCACATGAACCTCCGACTTTCATATGAACCTCCGACTATCACATGAACCTCCGACTATCACCTGAACCTCCGACTATCACATGAACCACCGACCATCACATGAACCTCCGATTATCACATGAACCACCGATTATCAGATGAACCTCCGACTATCACATGAACCTCCGACTATCATATGAACCTCCGACTATCACATGAACCACCGACTATCACATGAACCACAGACTATCACATGAACCTACGACTATCATACATGTATGAACCTCCGACTATCACATGAACCTTTGACTATCACATGACCCTCCGACTATCACATGAACCTCCGACTATCACATGACCCTCCGACTATCACATGAACCTCCGACTATCATATGAACCACCGCCTATCATATGAACGACCGACTATCACATGAACCTCCGACTATCACCTGAACCACCGACTATCATATGAATCTCCGGCTATCACATGAACCTCCGACGACTATCATATGAACCACCGACTATCACATGAACCACCGACTATCACATGAACCATCGGCTATCACATGAATCACCGACTATCATATGAACATCCGGCTATCACATGAACCTCCGACTATCATATGAACCTCCGGCTATCACATGATCCTCCGACTATCATATAAACCACCGTCTATCACGTGAACCACTAATTATCATATAAACCACCGTCTATCACGTGAACCACTAATTATCATATAAACCACCGACTATCATATTAACCACCGACTATCAAATGAACCACCGACTATTATATGAACCACCGACAATCACATAAACCATTGGCTATCATATGAGCCTCCGACTATCATATGAACCTCCGACTATCACATGAACCTCCGACTATGACATGAACCTCCGACTATCACATGAAGCACAGACTATCATATGAACCACCGACTATCACATGAACATCCAACTATCATATGAACCATGGGCTATCATATGAACCTCCGACTATCATATGACCCTCCGACTATCACATGAACCTCCGAATATCACACGAATCTCCGACTATCAAATGAACCACCGACTATCACATGAACCACCGACTGTCATATGAACCTCCGACTATCATATGACCCTCCGACTATCACATGAACCACCGACTATCACATGTACCTCCGACTATAACATGAACCACCGACTATCACATGAACATTCGGCTATCATATGAACCATGGGCTATCATATGAATCAGGGGCTATCATATGAACCATGCGCTATCATATGAACCACCGACTATCATATGAACATGGACTATCATATGGACCATGGGCTATCATATGAATCATGGGCTATTTAACCTAAGGATGCACTAAAGTTTTTCGAATAAACGGCAACTCGCTTGATTTCGCTTTATATGTGACTGTCGTCCAATTGGTCCAAGAGTTGCGTTGACCTTGTAGCTCATTCGGTTACAGCAAAAATTGAATAATTTGCAGTCCATGAATCGAATCCTGGTCTAGCTACACTGATTTGTTTTAAACTCAGAACACCAATGTAGATAAATGTTAGTTTATTTGATCTCTTTTATTTTTTCCCCAAAGAAATCCCGCAAGGTGTACTTGGCGACTGCCCCTAGAAGGCCTCGAGCCCGCGACCCAGTAATACAGACTAGTGGCAGCAGAATGTCATACGCCTTAACCACTCGGCCACTGCGGCCCTCTTGTTTCGAATGTAAAGTTTCAATTTTGGCAGGAGTACGGGGATCCCGACTACAAGATAACCCATTAGGTGTTTCTTTGTACCATTTCCTCTATTAATAAGCATTTAAATTCAACAAGTAACGATGGCCAGTTTATTGAAGAACGAGCTTTTTCAATGATGACTTATTGATGTTGTAGTTAAAAAAAATATGCGTTGAATGAAATGTTCATCTACCAGCTGAAACAGAAATGTTTATCTTTTTGACATGATGATCTGCTGGTACCAAAAATGAAAACGAGTTTGTAGTTCAAATATTAGATGACGAATTTGTTATTGTAACTTACAACTCAATATTCATCCTAGTTAAAACCTTACAACAATCCTATAATTAAAAAAAAATCCATAATGATCTTAAAGTAGATATGTTGTTTTTGTAATTAAAAACTTATTTGTTATACATGTTGTTTGTGAAGCTCTAGAATACTTGATGATATTGTTTATAACTAACATGTTGGTATATTAGCTGACAACAGTCTGACACTAAGGTCTTTAAGTGAAATCGTATATTATTATTTTGCTTACAAACTTGCATGTTGATTTGTGGTTCAGGTGATTTCAACTGTGAATTCTTCAATGCTAATTTTTGTAGATTTTTAAACGTACCTGCCGATTTTGTAGTTAAAATGTTAAATTGATCTTGTAGTTTAAAATGTATCTGTTGATCTTTTGTTTAAAGCATGACGTGTTGATATTGGAGTGAAAATGAACATATTTATTTTGTAAGTAAATCAACGGAATTAGATTAGAGGGTGTTATCTAAGTCCGTAGTAAATCTCGCATATTTATCTTGAAAAAGAAATACATGAAGGCCTTTAATAAAAAAGGTATGTTTGTTCATCGTTAAATCTTGTAAGTAATATTATTAGTGAAATTTAAACATGCAGATTGTATAATTATAAACTCATAAGTTGATCTTGCAGTTTAAAATCTTATGTAGATTGAATAATTATAAACTCATAAGTTGATCTTGCAGTTTAAAAACTTACTTCCTGGATTTGTAGGTGGCGCAACTGGATTGAAAACGCCTGTAAAACAAAGAAAAAAATATTATTTATTGAATTGGATATCTTAATTACTTCGCTGATATCTTTTTTCATGAGAATGTGTCCACTTGCAGAACTGAATATTGAACTGGTGTTTATAGCTGTAACCTCGAGTTACTGCAACGGACTCTGACAACTGTTGTCTAAAGGCCGCTTTTTTACGCCCGAAAGAAAGATGGAACGTATTATGTTATCACGTTGAATTGGCGGGCGNACTATCATATAAACCACCGACTATCATATGAACCTCCGACTATCACATGAACCACCGACTATCACATGAACCTCCGACTATCACATGAACCACCGACTGTCATATGAACCTCCGACTATCATATGAACCACCGACTACATTGTATCATATGAACCATGGGCTATCATATGAATCATGGGCTATCATATGAACCATGCGCTATCATATGAACCACCGACTATCATATGAACATGGACTATCATATGGACCATGGGCTATCATATGAATCATGGGCTATTTAACCTAAGGATGCACTAAAGTTTTTCGAATAAACGGCAACTCGCTTGATTTCGCTTTATATGTGACTGTCGTCCAATTGGTCCAAGAGTTGCGTTGACCTTGTAGCTCATTCGGTTACAGCAAAAATTGAATAATTTGCAGTCCATGAATCGAATCCTGGTCTAGCTACACTGATTTGTTTTAAACTCAGAACACCAATGTAGATAAATGTTAGTTTATTTGATCTCTTTTATTTTTTCCCCAAAGAAATCCCGCAAGGTGTACTTGGCGACTGCCCCTAGAAGGCCTCGAGCCCGCGACCCAGTAATACAGACTAGTGGCAGCAGAATGTCATACGCCTTAACCACTCGGCCACTGCGGCCCTCTTGTTTCGAATGTAAAGTTTCAATTTTGGCAGGAGTACGGGGATCCCGACTACAAGATAACCCATTAGGTGTTTCTTTGTACCATTTCCTCTATTAATAAGCATTTAAATTCAACAAGTAACGATGGCCAGTTTATTGAAGAACGAGCTTTTTCAATGATGACTTATTGATGTTGTAGTTAAAAAAAATATGCGTTGAATGAAATGTTCATCTACCAGCTGAAACAGAAATGTTTATCTTTTTGACATGATGATCTGCTGGTACCAAAAATGAAAACGAGTTTGTAGTTCAAATATTAGATGACGAATTTGTTATTGTAACTTACAACTCAATATTCATCCTAGTTAAAACCTTACAACAATCCTATAATTAAAAAAAAATCCATAATGATCTTAAAGTAGATATTTTGTTTTTGTAATTGAAAACTTATTTGTTATACATGTTGTTTGTGAAGCTCTAGAATACTTGATGATATTGTTTATAACTAACATGTTGGTATATTAGCTGACAACAGTCTGACACTAAGGTCTTTAAGTGAAATCGTATATTATTATTTTGCTTACAAACTTGCATGTTGATTTGTGGTTCAGGTGATTTCAACTGTGAATTCTTCAATGCTAATTTTTGTAGATTTTTAAACGTACCTGCCGATTTTGTAGTTAAAATGTTAAATTGATCTTGTAGTTTAAAATGTATCTGTTGATCTTTTGTTTAAAGCATGACGTGTTGATATTGGAGTGAAAATGAACATATTTATTTTGTAAGTAAATCAACGGAATTAGATTAGAGGGTGTTATCTAAGTCCGTAGTAAATCTCGCATATTTATCTTGAAAAAGAAATACATGAAGGCCTTTAATAAAAAAGGTATGTTTGTTCATCGTTAAATCTTGTAAGTAATATTATTAGTGAAATTTAAACATGCAGATTGTATAATTATAAACTCATCATAAGTTGATCTTGCAGTTTAAAATCTTATGTAGATTGAATAATTATAAACTCATAAGTTGATCTTGCAGTTTAAAAACTTACTTCCTGGATTTGTAGGTGGCGCAACTGGATTGAAAACGCCTGTAAAACAAAGAAAAAATTATTATTTATTGAATTGGATATCTTAATTACTTCGCTGATATCTTTTTTCATGAGAATGTGTCCACTTGCAGAACTGAATATTGAACTGGTGTTTATAGCTGTAACCTCGAGTTACTGCAACGGACTCTGACAACTGTTGTCTAAAGGCCGCTTTTTTACGCCCGAAAGAAAGATGGAACGTATTATGTTATCACGTTGAATTGGCGGGCGAGCGCGCTTGGTGTCGGGTTAAATCTTCATGAACCGCTTTGAGACGACCTACGAACTAGGTTGTAATAAAACCGTATATATAGGAACTCGAACTATTATAATTATCATTAATTTTCAACAGATTAAATTCAAACTTTATAAGATGGTTCATAACAGCTCAGACAAGTTCGATAACCACTCATATCTGACGATAATTAACGGAGTAATGACCCTTTATTCAATTCAAACAGTGACCGCTCGATATTGCGAGTAATGCTTTACGGATTAATGCCAAATTTCATAGGAAGGTTCATTACCTTGATAGATCGGACAAGTTCGATAATAACCATTGTCCAACCGTCATTTATGGAGTTACAGACAACTGCTCATTCAATGTATGACGGGCATATTTTATACATATACTTCAGTGGCGGATCCAGAGGGTTTTTTAGGGCTTCAGGAACCCCCCCAGCCTTAGAATTTTCTTTNCCCCCCCCAATAGGTATCTGTATCTGGATCCGCCACTGTCCTTGTTAATATATAAGCAGATGCCTAGAGCCTCATTAATAACATATCAATATTATTTATTGTATATAATGCCTAAAGACTACATGATTCTATCATATATATATGTATATATACGTAGGATAAAAATATCCCAAGGGTACAGAAATTGAGACAGCCGAGGGTTTTGAACCAAAATTATATACCCGAGGGTAGGGTATTTCTATCCTTCATAATTTACACATGATTCAGATATTTTCTTACGTCGCATAACATTTTATTCATCACGACGACTGTAGCCGCCATCTAATGGGGAAACTTCGACTTCGTTAATACTGAACCGTTTTTACATTATCAATACCAATGGGAAGATCTGCTTTAAGTTTGGTTTATACTAATAGTATAAACTTAAGATTGGGATGAACATGACAATAAATGTGGATATATTAACAGAACTGGACCATTAAATAGATTAAAATGACGTCACACTTGCCATGGCATGACGCTATCTTATTATCTTTGCATTGGTCATTGTGACGTCATGCTTATGTAAGATATATTTATTCTATCATGGAAACAATATCGAGAATGGTTGGCAATGTCAAAAAAGTTGCCACAAGAATGCAAAGAAAAAACTTACGTCTTGCCGAGATTAAGCCATATCTGACGCCTCCCGCAGTCATCTGTGCTGCGTACTCTGCCTCGATATGGGCTGCTGTTACATTGACATCGGAGCCATTTACAAATACAGATCCACTGTTCAGAAGAAGTATTGAAGAGACTCCTAAGGACCCCGAATCCCTGTGGTACAAAAAAAACAGAAATCAGTTATGTTCAATTTTTAATTTCAACAGATTTTATTGACTTTATATATTTCAATTGGATTTGACATCAGGCAAGGCCTATTTACCGTATGTCCTTTCAAACTTATTTACTAACAAAACTTATATTCTGTTATAACAATCAAGATAAATAGTGTAGGGGAGATACTCCAATTTAGATTATGAAATAGATATTTTTCAACTTTTATTCAATCATTTTCTGTTTATGTTTTGGATACTAACAATTAAATAAATCATGTATATTAGTTGACAACCCATCAAACATAAAATCCAAGGGATACCAGCCCAATCATTTATGTTTTTAATGATGATAAATTCCATCCTATTTCTTTGTAATATAGAAGGATTATGGTATACCTACTATAATTGTGATATGGTGAAATGTTATGAAAGGTTAGTGCTTATACATATGTCTTTAAACACTAACACAGCATCTAGAACAACAAATTGTCACATTTAAACATTTTTGGTGACTGGGAATAAAGCGAAATAGGATCCTCTACGAAAATGACTATCTATACAGTGATGTCTAGATAAGATATTAAAGAAATAATACAGACAAGCTGATGAGATATTGAAATCCATTAGTCAATGAATAAAAAAATATCAATCCAATTGATGTCTGTAAAAAGTTATAATACAATACAACTCGGTCCTATCAAAACAAAAATTTCACAGTGATGTAGAAAGTAAATTTCATTTCCAAATTGATATTGTTTATTGGAAATCAGACAAAAGTCAGAGCCTGTACTAGATATTTCGAATAACCAAATCTAAATTAAACGTCAACTTACCAGAAATCCGTTACCCAACTCGACATGTATACTGGCCTCAAGTAAGAAACACTTACACCCTGGGCAATCTGTAATGAATAGCATAACGTGCTCAACACAAAGGGTGCAATTAGGTTTTGAAGCAAAGGTAAAACGCTCAATGATAATAAGCGCTTACCTGTATTTATCGGTAACATGTTTTGCTTTTGACCTTTAAAGTAGGTTATTCTTTTGAACAGATCTGATAGCAAACTACAGACTAAATAGCATAGCTCTTAGCTTCACTGTTCTGTAGAAGAAGTTATATATTTCTAAGGATCCCTGCCCCACTGCAGTGTTGTTTTTCGTATATACAGATACGTCCAATTAGTTTATTTCATACAGAAACTTAAGCACTTCTTTTTTGCAAAAAGACTTTCGTTGACCAGCTAGCTCAGACAGTTAGAGCGATAAAACAACAAATCAATATCAATTGTTTATTTCTTGTTAACCTTTTTTGAAATAAAAGTCCCTTAAGGTATGACTTCCTAAGCAGAAATGATTTATCAAAGCTGTTGTCATGACAAGTTTGTTCCAATGGGGAGTTACAAGGTTTGGCAGAGGTACGGGGATCCTTAAGCCATATATTTTGTGACTTTGATAGTTGTTTCCATTTAATCAACGTGAACCTCACAAAAGAAAATTTTAAGACAAATATGACACGTTGGACATTATAATTCCGTAGAAGCCGTTGAAGTTTTCAAAAAAATGTTTTACCTTTGTACCATTGGAAGAGAGAGAGAGGGGGTTATTTATTTGAAACTTTGATAGCCTTTCACCAAAGTACGCTTCTGATCAAATAGCATAAGTTCAGGTCTTGCGCCCATGTCAAAGGAGATTTTTCCCACAACCACTATATGTTTCCTCGCTCCCGATTTCATTGGTCAGTCTTATCATTATGACGTCAAGTAACAATGCTTTGTGACGTCATCTTCATTTGCGAGGAAACAGGAATAATGTTTTCCCGAGCATGTGTTTTTTTTGATACAATATCTGAACCTTGTCGGAGAAAAAGGTCCCCAAACTCATGATGGCCGATTATCACATTTTTCTTACTCTCGTTAGTTTATCACCATTTTTTAAAGACACTCGGTAAATCTCGTGTCTTAATACATGTTGAAGTGGAAGGCAGACGAAGTACCGTCACACAAGATCACAGGCATTTAATTAATACCAGGTTATCTTATATGTAATATATCTGATATTATTAAAAGTACATGTACAACTGAGAAATTTGAGTGCGATCTTACCGCAATCCCAATAGCATCAGCCGTGAGAAATTTGAGTGCGATCTTACCGCAATCCCAATAGCATCAGCCGTGAGAAATTTGAGTGCGATCTTACCGCAATCCCAATAGCATCAGCCGTGCTCTGGAATATTATGCTTTTCTTGTCTGCATGATCCGGATGGAAATCGTCATCTAACAGGGTAAAATTTACTTGGAAAGCAACAAAGGGTGTCACGGTCGTTGTCGCTATGGTGGTTGTCATGGTATCGTTTGCCCATGCAGACCTTGTGGTAGTAGTTATATTAAAAGGAAAAATCACTGGAAGAAAAAGAAAAGAATAAAGCGTATTTATATCAAGCCTGTTTAAACGATTCAGGAAAATTGTTGATAAATGGAGAATATCTAATTGTTTCCAAGTAACATATATTTCACGAGTATGGCAGAAAAATGATATTTTTTCACGATTGCGTCATGATTCTTGACAATTGTTACCCTGATTGAACACAAGTATAATATTTTCCAAGAGGAAAAAAATATTGTTGCCTAAATTAAATGTGAACATTATGGGAGAAAAAAGGCACAGAACCTCGCCAGGATTGGTTTGGTCAGACTCAGCGCGGTTTGAATAAAATTAAGTCAAGTTGCGTTAAAATCAGGTCCAGCTCAACCCGTTAAAATCAGGTCCAGCTCAACCTGTTTTGAAATAAATATTTCAATGTGCGTTAATAAAAATCATTTAGTTTTGTTCATAGATACTTTTATTTTTGTATCAACGAAAAACAGCTAATCAGGTTACAGTTGATAAAGAGGCGGCGGTTGTATATTCCTGTGTTATAATACATAATCACAACTTATATTGTAGTCAGATTAGGTTTTGGAATTTGACAACTATTTATTTTTGTCGTACTCACGAGATAATTGAGATTTGTTTTTTTCGTAATTTCGAGAAAACTGTCACATCAAATTTCGAAATGTTTTCTCATAGTTAAGAGATAATTATCTCGTTATTTCAAGTTCAATTTTCGTTATAACTGGATAATTATTTTTGTATACTAATCTGTTTTCTTACCTATCCATTCAAACTGATAAAGATATTGACATTTTACTATGTCACCTATGCTTTAATACAGAAATGGATAAAATGCAAGCGACTTGTCATGCTTATAACCAGTTCAAGTGATTTCAATTTAGCAATGGCTATGTACCCATGAGGGAATTTGATCAGTAGTAGGTATAAGTATGACAGAAACTTGGACGATAGTTACTAGAAATTTAAATAAAAAATAAATAATCTTGAACTGTATGGCACACTTGGGCCCGTTTCAACCAAAATGTGATCACTAGTAACACCAAAAATGTCATTTCCCATATCAGTAATTTAACATATCAAGCCTTGATCTATTTAAGTATTATTTGTACAGGCCGTCGCAGTCGCTTCTTTGAGCAAAATGCATAGGGCTTGAAACCCGTTTTTGACACACAGCGTAGGCACGCATCAAATTTTAAGCTCTTGAACTTTATCATCTTCAAATAAACTTAGATGCTATTTGTTTATCAATTATAACTAATACCATTATCCATATGTTGTAAAGCGCTTTCGAGTAATTTTATAAATTATATAGGGCGCTATATAAATGTTGTATTTTATTATTATAAACAATTTTGAGCAGTATTAACATACGTAAATGCATCTGCACTGAGTCATCGTGTAAAATCGTGTCAGTTTAGACCGTATCAATAAGCGAATTGAGAGCGGTGCTCAGTGTACCTTATGCATACGTTAAAAAGGAAAGCACTTACGTGTTGCTGAGATTTTACCAACTGCAACGCCTCCTGCGGTCATCTGGTTTGAGTATTCTTCCGCCACAAGTTTTTCCGTTACATTCACTTTCGTGCCGTTTTTCATAGCTGTACTACTATTGAGATGAAGCATTGATCTGACTCCCAAAACTCCATGGTCCCTGAAAAACAAAAAGGACAATAGAAAATAGTTTTGAACTAAAGGACAATTCCTTCCCATTTCTTTATAACAGGATGCACGGTAGTCTAGTGGTAGGACCGGTTGTATGATCCCCAGAGAGTTGAGAAAGATACTGGCTTGTTGCAAAGGCCCTATAACCACAGATAATAATTTGTGAACCGTTTTGAGACGACCTTCGTACTAGGTTGTGATAAAGCGGTACATAAGAACCTCGAATTATTATTATTCCAAGGAAAAGGATTTATTATTTATAACATTACCTGTTTTATTTCCGACAAAGCTTGATGTTGTGAAAGGTTGACATTTACATAGCATCTTGGACATCAAACCGTGTCCGTGTAAACGTGCTGGGGTTTTGTATGACAGTATGCATACGTAAATTGCATGCTGGTCAATGTCTAAGCAACATATAATCAGAAGATGAAAAGAATACAATTTTATTTTCCTTAATAGATTTGTAAAGCTTTTACAAAGTGATAAAAATACAAACTACATCTTTTTAATATAAACTTACTTGTATATACATATTGTATAGCGCTTTGCACTTTAAGTATTGCGCCATATTTATATGTTAGCTCTATTTGTAGTTTCTGTATACAATTTTCTATTGGCTATATAAGGTCACGCATGTATACGTGATATCCCTTTACTACCACCTCAGTGTAAACAAGATACACATGTCCCATGTTGTACACCTATTCAAACAATATCATATAGGTGCACCAAGTGACCGCTGTTCGGGACGTAGGCTTTTTTTCTTTTAAATTCAGACATAAAAACATATTTTGGTCAACTGAAGAATAATCGTTTCACAAAATAATAAAAACAAATGAAACAAACGTCTGTGAAGCTTTCCCGAATCATTTTGGTCTCGCCGCGACGAAGTAGCGAAAGCGAGACTAAGGTGTTGCTTTTCCGTCGGCGGCGGCGGCGTCAACTTTGAGTTTTTACGTTTAACTTAGTTTCACTGAAAGTGTAAGTGCAAGACCAACCAAACTTAGTCCATAGAAGCATCCTAGGTAGAACATCTCAACTCATGCGTCAAATGCTGAATGCGGCGTAACTTTCATGGTCCATTAACTTTGTCAGCATCTCCACCAACATTAAGTTTCTCTGATATGTGCATTGATGGTCAAAGCAGGTCACAGGCAAGACATATCAATCCGAATGGCTTATTTCTTTGGTTTATCTTATTTGTTCTACCTTACTATTGTCTTTGCTAATTTTTACTGTATCTATATACCTACAATATTTATTGTTGACTGTTTATACATGTACTAATCTTATTTATTGTTGTATTCAAAATGTCATTTCCGATTATAATTTTGTTAATGTTTGTTCAAATCGACAATACGTGTTAATCATTATGCAGGTATAAAGCATAGGGAAAGTCTACTCTTCTGCGGTGGCTCTTTCATTTTAGCACGTGACAGCGATGAGAAAGTTGGTTGTAAAATTTGCAATCAGAGCCAAGGCAACGCCAAAGGTTAGAATTTACCTATTCCACATACCTATATACAAATGCATGGCAGACTCTATTTATATAATTCATTATCATGGACCTGTTGTCTGTAACACGATGCATGTATTACTTTCTTTAAGGTGTCGATAAAGAGAAACTTGCATTTTCAGTTTAAATTGCGTTTTATTCCCTCTGCAATATTTAGAGGGATGCTTGGCATTGGGGCGCCGGATTCATTCCTTTCCTGATATTGTCTAAAATCAGTTTCATCACGACCTAGCTGATGTCTATTATTTTTTTTTACTTAAACACTATTCAAAGCAAGCGCTAACTAACCTGAACTCCATAACTTTACTCGATTTGAAGATTTGGCGCAGGTAAGAAGCGTTCATCATCTGTGAAGTCTGTAACAGATAACAAAATAAACATGCATGAACATGGGCTAAACAACAACAATAAATAAATGAATTCCTTATTTTGTTTTCTTTGATACTTATTGTGTCTTCCATTGTGAAAGTCGGTCATATTCACTTATTTTATCAAATGTCACATACGTTCACAAACGCAAGGTAACGACTACACATCTTAACTCTAGGCATCACAGTTCTGAGGAAGACGTTGACATCAAAGACAATGTCTTGTAGAAATTAGATGGATTAATTTTTAACATATTTCATTTTATAACATTGACAGAGGGAGGGTGTTATCTATTGTAATGGTTTTTATAGCCTTCTACCAAATCAAACTTTGTTCTCAATAACTTGGATTTAGGCCCAACGCCCTTGTAGGAAATGTTACAGTAAATGAATACTTGATGACGGACGGGGAGCCGATGGGTTCCAGATGATGTGCCAACACAATAGATCACAGACACTTCGTGCCTGGCAAACGAAATTAAATGTTCTTATAGATAACAAGATAAAATGTTCTCCATTGCTCATGGCTAAATTTGCTCCACTGCTTATGGCTTTACTCAAATCACAGACATTTAAGAATACTTGAAGCTCCGACAAAAAAGGTAAAATACATTTCGTATTATGATGCCTTCTTAGCATGGTGCCCAATCTGCTGATGTATGCTTAGGGCTACTTATAACCTGATTCAAATCACTCTGATTGTACTTTTTTTGTAAAACGAAAGTTATAATTCATTACGAAGATTTCAAAGGAAATATATTTTATAACTCCTTAGTGTGTTTGTTATTATTTGTTTTGCTGCTAGGTAAAGTTTGTCAGCAAAAGAACTAAAACAAAGTGTTCATGTTAGGGTTATTAAAAACTGATCAGACAAAATAATTATTTTTTCTTTTTAAATATCTTGTTTTTATGTCATGAAAACCGCATCATTCTATATATTCTATGTGTTGTTGTGTGCTGTAAAGATTTTATAAATATTTATAAACACAGAAAATAATTTTCAAATATTTTTGTGATCAATGTAATAACATTTTCGAGATTTCCACTTTGGTTCAAATAGCTTCACTAATTTTTAATTCTAAAAATATTTCTTCAGTGAATTATGTCACCCGCATATTAACTTTAAAATAGAAGAAATGCATCAGGAAAGAGTTAGTTTGGGAAAACTCAAGTCCTTATTTGTAAAGAAAATTAAAAGGCGATCTTACCATCGCATCAATAGCGACAGCCATGGCCTGATATTCAGAGGTGTTTTTATCTGCATACTGGGGTATAAATGTCACATTTGTCAAATTATAATTCATTTCGAACATGGTGGATACTACTCCAAGATCTTTGGTTGGAGCCAACTGTGTGGTAGTCTGCGTAGGGGCAGCATTCGTTAACTGCATCGTGGTGAATGGTTTTGTAGTGGTTGTTGTGGTGGTGGGTTTTGTAGTGGGTGTCGGAGTAGTTGTACTAGTAGTAGTTGGGGTAGTGGTAGTAGTAGTTGGGGTAGTGGTAGTAGTAGTTGGGGTAGTGGTAGTTGGGGTAGTGGTAGTAGTAGTTGTTGTAGTAGTAGTAGTTGGGGTAGTAGTAGTAGTAGTTGGGGTAGTAGTAGTAGTAGTTGGGGTAGTGGTAGTAGTAGTTGGGGTAGTGGTAGTAGTAGTTGGGGTAGTAGTAGTAGTAGTTGGGGTAGTAGTAGTAGTAGTTGGGGTAGTAGTAGTAGTAGTTGGGGTAGTGGTAGTAGTAGTTGGGGTAGTGGTAGTAGTAGTTGGGGTAGTAGTAGTAGTAGTTGGGGTAGTAGTAGTAGTAGTTGGGGTAGTGGTAGTAGTAGTAGTAGTAGTAGTTGGGGTAGTAGTAGTAGTAGTTGGGGTAGTGGTAGTAGTAGTAGTAGTAGTAGTTGGGGTAGTAGTAGTAGTAGTTGGGGTAGTGGTAGTAGTAGTAGTAGTAGTAGTTGGGGTAGTAGTAGTAGTAGTTGGGGTAGTGGTAGTAGTAGTTGGGGTAGTGGTAGTAGTAGTTGGGGTAGTGGTAGTAGTAGTTGGGGTAGTAGTAGTTGGGGTAGTAGTAGTAGTAGTTGGGGTAGTGGTAGTAGTAGTAGTAGTTGTAGTTGGGGTAGTAGTAGTAGTAGTTGGGGTAGTGGTAGTAGTAGTTGGGGTAGTAGTAGTAGTAGTAGTAGTAGTTGGGGTAGTGGTAGTAGTAGTAGTTGGGGTAGGGGTAGTGGTAGTAGTAGTAGTTGTTGTTGTTGTTGTTGATGTCGTTGTTGTTGTTACCGCTGGAAAACAAGAGAAAAAGATATAAAGAAAAGCTCCCAAGGTGTTACAGGTAATTCATTTTATAATGTCGAATTTTCATACAAACAAATGCTATTTTTACTCATTTTTTCAAAATAAATTAAGTGACCCTAGCGGTCCACTGTAGCAAACAACTGTGTCCAGAAAGTTAATATTAATTCGGAAAAGGCTTTATGTTACTATAGGCTACGTTGTTTATTTATTTTGTAGTTATGCCTCATCTACAATGGGCCAGCTACTGGACATACCTTCCATTGTAAGGTTAGTGACATCTATTGACACGGAAAGCCCGCCATACGCATGCGTATCTCCTAAATCCTGCACAGCTTCCACAAAAACATTGACAACTACTACCACATCTATCACTACATGTGCAGCGGGGTTGGCACCAGTGGTTGTATTCGCTGAACTACTATTATCCGCGCCGCCAGTCGATGGCTCACTGGCCATGGTCTCAGGATTTATAAAGATCAAAAAATAATTTATTACGACACTTCCTTGACTGAAACAAAAGATAAGAAATATTTATCAATTTGTGTCATCATTTAAAGTTAGGTGTGATTACATGGAAAGATGCTAAAGTAACAAAAACAGTAGTAAACGTTTTCAATCTACCTTGGACGTTCGTTATCAAACTTCGACATGTGTCATTCTTAAAACAATTCTATCATATACATATTGACGCATAGTGGGACTGTATAGCGCATACTATTCTGTAACTCGAGACCGAGGTGGCCATTTTGTATTTTATATTGGCCCAAAGGACTAATACAATAGCATTACTTGGTCAGGGCAATAAAAACACAATTTGTGCGAATTCCTGTTTAATCTAATCTCGTGAGACTTGAGAATCACTCAATAATGTCTCAACAAATCATTATTTGTTTTTTTGAGATATCAGCTAATAGAAACAAAATATGTAGAAAAATGGCAGAAAAACAGATCCATGTACAAATAGGCCTTATTGAATAATAATAATAATAATAATAATAATAATAATAATGATGCTAATACAAACACCTTGTTTAAAGATATCTTTCCTTCAAACTATAATCAAAATGATAAATGAATGTCAAAACTGGCGGTACAGGACATATGGGTGTTACTACATGTAAGCAATTGCCATGCATAAGACAACGGGGTAAATTTTGCTGTTATCACATTCCGAACTCTGTGGAACTTTTTATTACTATCTGACTTCCCAACACGTAAGTTATCAGCGTAATTGTATATCTGAGAGTATAGAAGGGAGGCTGAAAATAAGAATATGCAAAAAAAGGAACGTAAAACTGCAAAATTTCTAGACTGATATATGAACGCACGCAGTGATGATGAACGATGGAAATAACTCTTATATAAATAGACATAAGATTAAGATGGCTTGATTTGGGATTCGGCCAGGAAAGTAAGTTTTCAAGTTTTTACTTTTGGCAAACATAAAAGCAATGTCAGAAAATAATGCGATATAAATGGCGATTTATAAATATTCAATTAACTCACGTGAACCCCTGAATAACTGTTCCATTGTAGTACTCACTCAAAGATCCATTGGTATAAATGTCATCCATCTGAAAATTCAATCAAGATCGAAGCTACAACACTCATTACCGGGAACCAGGGTAGTGACAAAACAATCTAACAGATCCAAATAAGATCATGATAACGATCATAAAACTTGTCCATAGTCTTCATATAACTGTATCACTCGAAACCCTGTGTCGTTAGATATTGTCCGTCGGCATTTCGTATCTATCATGTTAATCATATTATTCGGAGCAAGTTCTAGAAAAACCGGATCAGCTGCGACTACGAAGACAACTTTAACACCTACCTCGTTGCAGATTTTAATGGGTGAATAAACCATACTCCAATACGAATTATAGCATAGTGTTAGAGCAAATAAACAATGATCCTACAAGATAATAGGACAGTATTAGAGCAAATAGCGGTAAAACAGGTCATATTACCGAGTTGATTTGCAAAAACAAAATATGTCGATAATTACGTACCTATATTAGCGAAGCCATGTTTTCCCCGCATCCACAAACAATTAAATATCGCTACTGCGGATATAATTGTTTACAGTCCACAGGAAAGCAACGAATTTTACCACGTCCTTTGTAAGTTAAATTCAATGAAATATCGGATTTAACAGAAATAGTGTCAAAATATTTTCTGTGCTTTACTATTCCGTCTTTGCGTATTGCAGAGTTATCTTCTCTTGGGAGCAGGTATTGATTGTTACGTCACTTGTTTGTGAGAGTAACGTCATCATTTTTTGAGAAAACGACGTAATTTTCTAGCAAAAACCAATGACGTAACAATCAATACCTGTTCCCAAGAGAACATAACTCTGCTATACGCAAAGACGGAATGGAAATATACTAAACGTACTTACCATTTGTGTAAAATTTGCAGCCATATCTTGATACTGAGTTGTATTTTCATTAGAAAGGTTGTCATCCCATTTGGTATTATTTGCTTTCACATTGCCTTTAAATTCCACTAAAACAGTCAAAACACAACAAGTGTTGTGACATGTCATGTTGTGTATGTATATATATAATAACTTACCCGATTTATATAATAACTGTATAGTCTTTTAACAGTCACAATAATACAAATTATCCATGCACTAAATATACACCTCCGAAACAGTCAGCATCAGAAAAAAATCGTGTGATAAATATGTAGCCATATAATAGTATAAAAAAACAATCTGTATATTAAATACATGTCTATTAATCATTTAGTTACAGAGACAGTTCGTGTATTATTTATGAACACACGCAGTCAGCACCACAAATTACATATGTACTAACCATACACCTTTAAAACAGTTAGCAACACAAAACATGATTGTATTAAGGTAAAGTGTATCAACAGGTCAATCTGTGTCATATTTACCATTGTCACTATTTGTGTATGTCCTTACCAAAGAAATGATTAAAAACACATGCTGTCATGCATTATACAGAACTAAAGTTGTTTATAATTTGAATGAACGATGATAGAAAGAAAATAAAACAAAACGAGAGAACTGCATGACCCGAACTCAGTACCGTTAGACTATTATTGTAAAGCCTACATTCCATCCATGTTCCATACAGGACTTGTTCAAGTTAATGGCCGCAAGGCATATGAGAAATTTGAAAGGATAACCAAAACCTCCATTTGGACGCTTCATCTTTTATCAATAAGCTAGAATCTACAAAGCTAAAATCCCAACAAAAACGAAAACAAACCCCCACTGCTATTATAACTGATGCTTTAGTACCATGTCCCTTAAATATACACCTTCAAAAGTCAATGAAAAAATAATAAAATAGAAACAGAGAAGTTCCCTGTAACAATTTAATAGGAGATATTACATTATTTAACATGTGTCATTTATGAATAACAATATGTAACAGATATATACAAGTACATACTATTGTGTATGTAAACAAAAAGTACTTACAAATCGGCGGAGGAGGGGGCGGAGTTGTAGTTGGAGTTGTAGTAGTTTGGGTGGTAGTTGTGGTGGTTGGAGTGGTAGTTGGATTGTTAGTTGTGGTAGTTGGAGTGGTAGTTGTGGTGGCTGGAGTGGTAGTTGTGGTGGCTGGAGTGGTAGTTGTGGTAGTTGGAGTGGTAGTTGTGGTGGCTGGAGTAGTAGTTGTGGTAGTTGGAGTGGTAGTTGTGGGGGTTGGAGTGGTAGGTGTGGTAGTTGGAGTGGGAGTTGTGGTGGCTGGAGGGGTAGTTGTGGTGGCTGGAGGGGTAGTTGTGGTGGCTGGAGGGGTAGTTGTGGTGGGTGGAGTGGTAGGTGTGGTGGTTGGAGTGGTAGTTGTGGTGGTTGGAGTGGTAGTTGTTGGTCTCACAGTAGTTTCACCATCAGCTAAAACGGAAAATTTGTTATAAAAATTTGTATAATTTGCTTCAATATTTATAGTGAAGAAAAAAACATTTCAGGACGTGTATCATATTAATGAGTTTAAAGTTTATCATGTTCTAAATTGGCCTCACCATTAGTTGACACTGTTGTCATATGACCTAAGCTATTTTAAGCCCCCTATCAAATCGAAGTAGCTTTACACTAAGTTGTGCGGCTACTTTTCATTAATTACACAAATGCATGAGGCCTTAGACTCAAGTTACACGATAGATATCCACAAATGACACAAGTGCCTCAGGTTTCACGCTCAGTAATACAAATACCATCCATTAATTACACAAGCTTCAACACTTCATAATCTGTCGTACAATTATACCAAATCAATTACACAAGCTTCAACACTTCATAATCTGTCGTACAATTATACCAAATCAATTACACAAGCTTCAACACTTCATAATCTGTCGTACAATTATACCAAATCAATTACACAAGCTTCAACACTTCATAATCTGTCGTACAATTATACCAAATCAATTACACAAGCTTCAACACTTCATAATCTGTCGTACAATTATACCAAATCAATTACACAAGCTTCAACACTTCATAATCTGTCGTACAATTATACCAAATCAATTACACAAGCTCATGTCTGCGCTCAGCCTCGAGCCACCGACCCTAGACTTTCTAGTCTGCTGCCACAAGGCTAAGGAAAATGTTCCTCAGCCGGAAAACGAGTGGCATTATATCAGTTTCAACGTTTGGACAACTTGGTTACAATATCACTTTTTATCATATAACTGACCCATTTTACCTTTTCATACAGCCATGTCATAAATATGGATTTACAGCATGTCATAAAGCCTAAAGGTGCTGGAAAATAATCCTTCGACACTACAGGAACTACTTTTATTAACTTTACCACATTTACTGTTATTTTCAATAAATTTGAAATGTTAATTTTGCCATTATTTTTTTCACACCAGGTTATTCTAAGAAGGGATATAACGGTATGACGATTATGTCCGCTGGGAATCGAACAAGCGACCTCCGACGTTTAGTCGGAGGTCCAACAAATTATGTGCAATGTAAATAATGTTTAAACTTAAATCAATACTGCCCTGATATAACATATTTAGTGTCAACTTATTTTTATGTTGCATTGATACAAATATAATATAACTTTGTTGGAAAAAAGTATTTCTATTAGTTTATTATTTTTTGTCATCAGCTCATAACATGATAAACTGACGAAAGAACTGTAACAAGCATTTTGATTGGATTGTGGAAACAGTTTCGTTATCACGTCGGCGTATTATTTTTTTGGAATTGATTTTGTGTATTGCATTTTTGATGCGTATTTTATCAAATTAAATGTTTAGAAATATTTAATTGTTTTTCATTCATATTAGAATTATATTATAAATATAAACTTTTTTTATGTTATTGAGCCATAACATAACGAAGCGGTTTATAAAACGAATACACTACTTTTCAAATTAAATATGACAAGGAAAAGGGAATTAGCAACAAGTTATGAAACTTAAAATAGTCTGTTTCCTTCAAATAAATTCTATGGGCAACACGGAAGTTTGATTATTTAATTCAAATGGTAGCAACAACATGTTTCAATAATTATATACCAAATAGAAGTAAATGAATGTAAAGATAAAAGAGCGAGGTAGAGGAAAGGAAAATGCGAAGCTCAAATAGTGCACCGCAACAAAAATCGCTACAATTTACATAATTAGATAGGTACAATATGCCTAGCATTACTAAATCATTAGTCATTTCAGCTATACAATACGAACATTCGATATATAACTTTTCAGATTAGGCCCATACCTAATAGCGTAGCGGTGTCTAATTTTTGTAGCAGTGAGTATTGTGAGGAGCTAGAACCAGCTTTCAGGTTTTCCAGAGATGTCTTGACGCCAGATTTGACAATGCCGGTGGTCAGTGTATTGTCTTGACCAGCTGTGCTGACTTGTCCGGGAATCTTATTGTCCGAACATTTAATGACGAAATTCACAATGACACTTCCTTGCCTGAAACAGTACAACAATTTTACATTTAAACCTTAAATGAAAAACAAGATAATCATATTTATTTTTAAAGATTCTTGTTTTCTTAAAAAAGCATTCGGGGCCTAGATGTCAGAAATTTAATTCATGCTTTTCTTGAGTCCAATTTCATAACGTTTGAGGAATTTTAATTCTAATTTTAATATTAATTTTATTATTTTTACTTATTTTAGATGAACATATTTTTATTACGTTTTTGTTGGAATAGTCATAATTTGAATGAGTGGGCCCTGTCGAATATCACATTCCTGGGCTCTATGACTTGATTCTATGTCTTTGTGTGATATGAAGGTACATGTTTTTGTGATATGAAGGTACATGTTTTAGGTTTTGCTCATTAGGGTGCCTTGTGGTTTTGTTGCCACTACTCCGGAGGTCGATGAGAGGGGTGACATTATTTGGATTTGGCTTTGATTAACGTTGCGGGTGTCGTCGATAAATCAGAAGACGCGTACCCTTCCGGAACACCTGGTCCTATTGGTCGTCCACAATATCTTATTGTCAATCTTATTGTCCGTTCACAATTTAAATAACTTACCACGGTTACATTGCATATGTTTTCAATATTGCCTCCGATTTCGATATCATTTTTCGAAAGTAATATATATAAGAATAACTTACAAAATAGAGCAAAGACAGTAAATCTCGGTACATTTCAACAACCTAAGCACTTCCTCTCCTTTTATGTCCATTTGTTTATTAACCGTTTTCAGTTATTTTCACTTATATGTGTTATATGTTATAATAAGGAGCATTTAATTTGTCCTTTTTTGAGATGTCTTCTGCGACATCGAAATTAAAAGACACACTGATGAGAAAGAACAAAAACATCGACCTTCTTTTTACTTAAGGAAATAAAATATTTCACAATAAGTTTATGATAGCGACCACAGAGCTTCTCCATAGTCAATAAAACTGACAGATACTTACATTGTATCACCGCAATCAAAATAAAACTATATAAATATATTCCGTGTGTCTATCTACCGTCTCCGAAATGACGGACTCTACAAGCGGGTCCAGTTGCAGGGAAAGGCAGACAAACATAATTATCTAATAACAATATACATTGAATGTATATGAGAAAAAAAATGAAGCCTTGAGGACATTTTTATGTAAATGTAAATGTTTCCAGGGCACTTCAAGACTGACAGTAGTCAACTAGATTTTTATCCTCAGCAATAAAATATTCAAAACCTCATAATAATCTTGAACTCAAATATCATATAATTCTATGTTGGATCAGTGTTGACTGAGAGCTTACATGAACCCGTTCACCACAGTACTGTCATAAACGTCCCTGAGAGCACCACTCTTTTGAGCATCATCCATCTGTAAAAGAACAAGAAAAAACAAGGAATAAGCGGTGTCGAATTCGTCGTTGTGCATTTCAATAATTAGCACGCTAGCATTTCGACTGTGTTAGTATATAAACCAGACAATAAAATGATATTTGAATAGATTAACTCCATACACTCATATGTTATCATACATTTCAGTTTATTATTATCATTTTCCTTTTCAGACATATACCATATATTGTCACGGTTTTTAAGTGAATCCCTAAGTTGCAAGAGTAATTTCTTATTAAATATTTACGTTTATAACTTCCCCTCTCCGAAATGTGCTAACAGAGAATCCCTGTCTGTCTTTAACACGGCAAATCAGTGAAAAAAGAAAAAAAAGTCAGCTTATTAGACATGAATATTTAATATCCATTCTATATGCATGTTTTTTTCTATTTGATATTTTAGCGCCATTTCTTCAGAAAATAAACTCCTAGAATACTTACCATAGACTTGAAGTCATTGGACATCGCATTAAACTCATTGCTGTTAGGATTTAGGAGATTTGGATTCCAGACTGCTGATGGGGCCCTCATGCTCATTTTGAATTCGACTGGAAAAAATCAATGTGAAATATAAAGTCTAATATAATAAACAATAAAAATAATGCCAAAAAAAAAATAAAAAAAAATTGAATGGTGTGAGTACAAAATCATTACCTTTGGGAGTTATTTCCCTTGCATAAGCATGAATAGGTCTTATCAATAAAATAAAATGAACATGCTGTTTTGTTTTAATATATGCGATTGTTTTGTCTGTTTTTATGCTAACAATGTTCTGTCTGAATAGCCCGTTTTCTACGCCAATTTGTTCTAAAGTAGGTAATTTTCGATATTTTCGTGGCCAAATATAGCAAATTTGGACTCAAAGCGAATATTGATACCATCAATATACATAGATAAAAGGAAAGACCTAGTTTAACCTTTTTATAGGCGAAAAATGCGACAGATCACCAAAGTTAATACCGTATTTTACGGGTTTTATGAAAAAAACACGCGTAAATAAATCCCGTCACAAAAAATACAAAAGCACCCTCTTGAGTGCTATATTTTTATCTATCAATATTGCGCGAAATTTAATCGTCGCGAAATAATTCTGATCGGGGAAATCGGGATATGCAGTATTTAAACCTGGTTTCTTCAACAACAGTTTGGTAAGATAATACATCATTTTTGTCAAAATGCAAGGAAGTTACATAACACTAATAATATTTGGAGTAGCTCAGACTGAGAATTCTTTTATACGAAAAAAGCTTGTAACGTTGGATCTCTACCTCATGTATGTATATACAGGATACAAATGACTTAACATGGGTATAGGGGCCAAGGAATTAGTTGGAACAATAGATGATACAAAGTTGTTAAAGTTTTGGAGCGACAAGATCGTTGATTTTATGCCAAAAATGCGGCCATTATAATAAATGACTTTGGCTTTTGATAGAAAATGTGGGACGTATTTGTACTGACTTGTGCTTTAGCAAATTACGCTAAAACCTTTGTATATGAGGAAGATAACAAATATGAAATATTTTGTATAATTTGTAGTGCATAAGGAAATTTTCTGTAAATTAGTCACTCAGCTTATTAAAGCAGTTAATGACCAAGTTTGATGAACTCACCTGGGGTTTTCTTCTCTGGTCCAGGAGCTACAATTGAATGATTGACTTTTAAAAATAATAATTGTTTAATGGAAAGATAAAAAAAAAATATACTTCAAAATGTATTGATGAGGATCAAATGTATGTCATAGTTAAGTAGCTATTCTTGATATGAACAATTTCAAAATATCATTTCGGATCAAAATTAATTTGAAACTTGAGAAGATGACTTCTGTGTCGTATAATTAAGCCAAGTATTCCATTTTCAATGTATTTAAATATTGAGATTTATTTCAATGAATTATAATTAACATCAATATGATATCTACTTACTGTCACCAAGGTAGATGATAACACCAGTAATAACCGCTACGGCTATTACCACAACGATGGCCGTCACAATCAAAATTTTCGGCAGATTAGATTTCTTGTTCCACGTTCTTAACGAGGAGGATAAGGAATCCGTTGATTCTCCATCGCGATAATTCATGGGGTCTCTGTATTCATTTCTGTAAGCCATTCCTGGCTTATAAGGATTGTGGCCAGGTCTGTCGCCATAGTGAACAATATAGCTTGGCCGGTAGTAGTCTCCCTGATACTGTGGATTGTCAAATCCTTCGTCTTCAGATCGGTCGTCAACGTGACGGTGCCGATGGTGTCTCGACCTCCTTTCTTTCTGAATACGAAAATGTATTTATAATAAATATGCTTAATGTTATCGTGGAGGAGACAATGGTGAAAAAAGAATTGCAATAATACCGATATAATGGTATATCAAATTAAAGGAATGAGAGCAGGGCAGTGTAATTGAGCAGACAAGGGCAATCTTAATAACCTATATATAGAGAGGACTAATGCCATAATTACTACATTTTGAAAGTACAGCGGCGAAAACTATTAATGCACCAAACAAGAGGTCCATGCGCCTCAACGGCCACCCGAGTCGTAATTCACCCGAGTTGTAATTCACCCGAGTCGTAATTCAATTGTTATACATTTATAATGTTTTCATATTCATGTATAAAAGCAAAGGATTATAACAGTACTAACATGTGCTTTTCATATCATATACATATCTTTCTATATCATATTATAGTTATAGCGAACGAGTGTAATTAAAATGGCTTTGTTAAAAACCTGACAACATTTTATTTTTTAATAAAGAGATAGAAATGTGTAAAACATAAAAACAGAGATATATATGACAAGTAGCAACTGTGGTGATATGTTTGTCTGGTGGCTTGTTGTGGGTTTAACGTCTTGGCTACTGCGACGGTGACAAGAAGACGGGAACTTAGAGAGACACTACCAAAAGGAAAAAATAGGGAAGACATAAAAGAGATAAAGATCCCAAGCGTTGCCATGGGGGCAGCTGATCAATTTCGGTTTCTCAATGTGCTTTTACTCGTTCACCCCTGAAGAGATATTTGAACTCTTTCAATTCAATGGTTAGAATAGTTCATTATGAATTTCAGGGGTGAATGGGTTAAGCATGCAGGCGTCGTCACGTAAGTCGGCTCTAGCAACATGCACCATTATACTGCAGACTATTACATGTATAAAGCTTTCCACTGTGAGTGCGTTCAACTGTATTGTCTGTCCCTCGTGCTACATTTATATTCCTTTTTTCCAATACCCTAATGGCATCATACGTGATGCATACATATCTGTGATGTTCCATTCCATTGTTTAGTTACTGTCTGGGGAGACAGAGAGTTCAAACCGAGCACTATCCCTTTCCAGACTACACTAAAGATGAGCTCCCCTTCAGAAGTTCAGCCATTGTATAAAGTCGTAGGTAGACCATATACACAGTAAATTTCTATTATGTGCGGTGCAATGAACGCGCACGGTTTGGTGTGCAGATGGATCGTTGTGTACACTTTATTCTGTAAACTGTGTAATAGACAACGCATGTCAATTGTTTGAACTTGGATTCAAGCAAAGAGTACATATATCTGCATATCCATTGCAATAAACCCCTGTCTGAATAGGCCTTGATTTCCAAAAAATCTGGTTCGCTTACTGAAATGTAAGAGAAAACATAACCTTCCACAAAGTATTTATAGAAATATTAGAAATTGTAAATCAAATAGCATTCGGAGCGCTTCAAGATTGAATACATTCTAAAAGAAAGTTAATGTTTTGGAAAGTTCCACATGATTCCCAAAAACAAATCATATTTAAAAAACTACATTAAGCTAACAATGCTTTTACAAAAGATTCAAATAATGTTAAGGTATTGTGTGGTCGTGACGCTACCACGCATCAATGCGCGCCTGGGCGTACATCATGACAATAATAACTACCTTTATAAGTACAAAAGCATTAAGTACGGACATAAATAATTTGCTACATCTGACCCAGCCACTTCACCATCGTTCTGAATCACCCACCTAGTCCTAGTTGTAGTCATCATTAAAGTGATAAACAAATTTTTAATTATACCTTGCAACATAATTGACCACGGTTATGTAATAACTGAATCAAATCAACGAAGGTTCCAAAATTTAAAGTATCTGCCTTACATACTAGAGGTCAATTTCCTTATAATTTTACCAATTGAAAAGGAATGTCATGTTAATATATGGGAACACTGACAATAGTTATGTAAGTGTATAGGAATTCTGGGTGTAATTATATTTGTGTATATAAATACTAAGAGTATTTATTTTCATGTATAGGAATACGCAGTATTTTGAAGGGTGTTTTGTCATTTTAGTACAAACATTGAAGTTATTTTTATTATTTAAATAGTTTTCTTTTTTTTCCCGTTTGTAGTAATGAACAAAATACTATAAATCTATGTATTTTTATATAGTGAAATAATTGTTAAACGACGACAATTTCAAATCTATTTTTTAAATAGAATATAACAAGGCATTCCATATTTCAGTCATACAAAAATTAACTGTTTGGATAACCATGTTTTTTTCGTATAGTGTATAAATCTGTAATATTTTCGCCGTACGTTATGTGTTTGAGGCCGCAAAAACCAAATAAGATAAGTTGAATTTGGTTTACTTCGGATTGCTCTACGTATTTTAACGGTGGTATATTTATTTCTGTACTCCTGATTTATGCCAACTGACAACCGGTGAAAATTATGTATATCGACAAAACTATGTGTAGTGGCCATGGGGTATTATTGTTATCATATATCTTTCATTACGTGTTTTGGTGCATTTTGTGTATAACCAAACACAAATATTTAAATCTTTTTAGAGTAACGAATAGACTATGTTTACGAGGGGTCTGTTTAATGGTCATCACGATCTCATTGGTAAAAACAATATTTACATATGAAGGTCGATATTTTTAGTTATGGTAATAAGTGTGCCTCGTCGTCCCGTTGTCATTACGACGGGCATATTTTTGCAAACGAGACATAAATTAGGTTAGACCCAATTTTTAATGACTGACTGAGGTCATGAGGAACATTTAGTTTTATTTTCCATTTTCCATTTGAATCGTTTACCATGAACTGTTTCTTTTTATCATATTTTGCCTAATTTTAACAACTTTGAGTTTTAATTGAAGTCTTAACAAAATTTTAACGCTTGTAGCGAAATTAAACCCAAATCGCCCTTGATGTATTCGCGGAATATCGAAAAGCACATTATTTACATTACTATTATTTCTGCTGAGGAAGTTTATGATATTGTTAATGATATGCATATAAGTAGTGCTTGCAACGCCCTTAGAGCATTTCTAGTAAACGGGAATGAATAAAAAAAAGCCAGCGGATAAAACAAAATAAATTGAAAATGGCCATCAATAAGTACTATTCAAATAAGAGTTGACTGACGGTAAATATGCTGTTATATGAACCTGAAAAGAAGTTATATTGAAAGAGGCAACGCCGAGGTCAATACAATTTTCTGATGTTTATATCACATCAAATTTACCATCACAAATATCTATAACTATTTCTTATGTGCTTCAACAATAAATTAAACACATTTGTTTGATGGTTTTTTTACGCTGTAATTTGATGGGTTTTTTACGCTGTAATTTGAAGGTTTTTTTACGCTGTAATTTGATGGTTTTTTTACGCTGTAATTTGATGGGTTTTTTACGCTGTAATTTGATGGGTTTTTTACGCTGTAATTTGATGGTTTTTTTACGCTGTAATTTGATGGGTTTTTTACGCTGTAATTTGATGGGTTTTTTACGCTGTAATTTGATGGTTTTTTTACGCTGTAATTTGATGGTTTTTTTACGCTGTAATTTGATGTTTTTTTTACGCTGTAATTTGATGGGTTTTTTACGCTGTAATTTGATGGTTTTTTTACGCTGTAATTTGATGGTTTTTTTACGCTGTAATTTGATGGTTTTTTTACGCTGTAATTTGATGGGTTTTTTACGCTGTAATTTGATGGGTTTTTTACGCTGTAATTTGATGGTTTTTTTACGCTGTAATTTGATGGTTTGGATGCGAGGTTTAACCATGTTAATTGCAGTTTTCAAATTGTACATTAATATTGCGGCTTAGAAATACAAATACAATATATCTTTTATGTTCCCTGAATAATTTTTAATAACTGCTCGCGTGTATAGGATAGGACAAAGTACGAAAATAAATGGTGTTCGTCTTCTGAGCAAAATTTGTAAATTGTGGTCATATAAAGTCAGCCTGATTTCTGTGTTTATCAATAAGGATAAATAATTTCTCATCTTTAACCTCAAGTCTTATTAGGAAATGTAGACATTGTAGAATATGTCATTGATATTTCATGGGTTTAAGTTCAAAATACTAGGTCATTAAAAATTCCCGATTTTTAAAAACACTTATCTACTCTCACAAAATACCCATTCAAAGTATTTATGTCTAAAGTCGTTGCTTCGTGACACCTGTCATGTTGATTAAATGTGAGTCAAAGGAATGCCGCATCATCAAAAATATAAACGAGGCAGTGACGAGGAAGTTACCTGGATCACTAATAAGAAATCATCGATCTTCAAACAGCAAAAGGGAACAGAAAGCTCTTTAATAGTAATCATGAATGCAGCAATAAACGTTGCCCAAAGTCTTCGTGAAGCTGCATGAAAAAAATTAACTTGTGTTTGTTACTCTTTTGCCAGTCGTCGACATCCATCGTGAAATTGTTATATTCTGAGACATCCATCGTGGAATGGTTATATTCCGATAACTGTTTTATTCGGAGGTACCAATTAGAAAATGTTGACCCTTTCAATCTATCATATACATTTTTTATTCATTTATCGTAACAGTCGGATAGGAGTTTGTCTTCTTGTCCTTATCAGAAAAATCAGGACATCACTGTTTTCTTTATTATAAGCCATCCATAATATATAAAGATTCCCCAACGAGTGATGGTTTGTTATCATGTTTATCTTACTCAAGTGAGTTAGTTTTTCAAAGTTTATAAAAACACGAGATTTACCGAGGGTCTTTAAGGAATCGAAAAAAAAATGTGTGTTAAATATTAGATATTTCAGAAATTATATCTAGACAATCACATGTTTCTTTCGTTGGGGAACAATTTCCATGAACTATGACGTCACAATAGAAGTAATATTGCAAAGCACTGTTGTTTGAAGCCATGATTAGAAGATCGACAAACGAAATAATGCCCAGGGTGTTACCCACCAGTGGGTAAACAAAACGTTTACCAACTCCTGGTAGGTTTATCTAATGAGTTGGGAATGAGG